AAAAGGAAGAGATGGTGCAGCATGTGCTGATCACCTGCATGAGCCTGGTTGGGAGAGAATATATGGACAGACACAGTGAGGTTGCCAAGAGTCTGCAGTGGAGACTGTGGCAAGTACAGATTTACATGCACCCTGCGATATTGTGACCAGCAAATTGCAAGTGCTCTAGAGAATGAAGAGGCTAAGATTTTATGGATCTGGCAGTTGTCACAGGCAAAGGTGTGAGGAAACCGGCCAGACATAGGTGTTGTATCAAAGAAGACAAATAAGGTCATGATAATTCATATTGCCATGCAGCAGACAAAAACATAAGAGAGAAGACCGCATTCAGGCTCTGTGAGAATTTTAAGGAAAGCTAAAGGAAAACAAGTGTATTTGAGCACTTAAAATTCACAAAGTCTGCAGAGGGTTTATAAAAACTCCTGACTTTGGAGTCGGTTTGTGCTCAGGATTTTTTGGTGATTCATAGGTAAATTTTAGACAGTAGCTGTCCCCGCTTTATGTTTAAAGATCTTGTATGTTGTGAAAAACATACAAATACAAAAAAACCACACCCCTAGGATGTAGTAATTTCCAAATTTATCCCCTGGCCCATGAAATATAATTTAAAATGGAATAGAATTAAATTAATTTGGCATCCCTATGCTTATGCCCCAGGAAAACACAATACTATATACCAAATATACAGTCATTGCTCATCTCACATTATGAGTCACCTTCAGGAGTTCCCCCACTCCCTCTCTTTCCTTAACGCTAGGGCTTGTTAACACTATAGGTTATGTCCGTATAATTTGTCACTCAGGGTATGTCTACACTACGAAATTAGGTCAAATTTATAGAAATTGGTTTTATATATTGGAGTGTGTGTGTCCCCAGAGAAAATGCTCTAAGTGCATTAAGTGCATTAACTCGGCGGAGTGCTTCCGCAGTACCGAGGCTAGAGTCGACTTCTGGAGCGTCGCACTGAGGGTAGCTATCCCACAGTTCCCGCAGTCTCCGCTGCCCATTGGAATTCTGGGTTGAGATCCCAATGCCTGATGGGGCTAAAACATTGTTGCGGGTGATTCTGGGTACATATCGTCAGGCCCCCGTTCCCTCCCTCCCTCCGTGAAAGCAAGGGCAGACAATCATTTTGCGCCTTTTTTCCTGAGTTACCTGTGCAGACGCCATACCACGGCAAGCATGGAGCCCGCTCAGCTCACTGTCACCATATGTCTCCTGGGTGCTGGCAGACGCGGTACTGCATTGCTACACAGTAGCAGCAACCCATTGCCTTGTGGCAGCAGACGGTGCAATAGGACTGGTAGCCGTCATCGTCATGTCCGAGGTGCTCCTGGCCACGTCAGCCAGGAGCGCCTTGGCAGACATGGGCGCAGGGACTAAATTTGGAGTGACTTGATCAAGTCATTCTCTTTAGTCCTGCAGTCAGTCCTATTGAACCATCTTATGGTGAGCAGGCAGGCGATATGGATTGCTAGCAGTCGTATTGTACCATCTTCTGCCAGGCAGGCAAGAGATGAGGATGGCATGCAGTCCTTCTGCACTGTCTGCTGCCAGCCAAAGATGTAAAAGATAGATGGAGTGTATCAAAACAAGAAATAGACCAGATTTGTTTTGTACTCATTTGCTTCCCCCCGTCCCCCGTCTAGGGGACTCATTCCTCTAGGTCACACTGCAGTCACTCACAGAGAAGGTGCAGCGAGGTAAATCTAGCCATGTATCAATCAGAGGCCAGGCTAACCTCCTTCTTCCAATAAGAACAATAACTTAGGTGCACCATTTCTTATTGGAACCCTCCGTGAAGTCCTGCCTGAAATACTCCTTGATGTAAAGCCACCCCCTTTGTTGATTTTAGCTCCCTGAAGCCAACCCTGTAAGCTATGTCGTCAGTCGCCCCTCCCTCCGTCAGAGCAACGGCAGACAATCGTTCCGTGCCTTTTTTCTGTGCGGACGCCATACCAAGGCAAGCATGGAGGCCGCTCAGCTCACTTTGGCAATTAGGAGCACATTAAACACCACACGCATTATCCAGCAGTATATGCAGCACCAGAACCTGGCAGAGCGATACCGGGCGAGTAGGCGACGTCAGCGCGGTCGCGTGAGTGATCAGGACATGGACACAGATTTCTCTGAAAGCATGGGCCCTGGCAATGCATGCATCATGGTGCTAATGGGGCAGGTTCATGCTGTGGAACGCCGATTCTGGGCTCGGGAAACAAGCACAGACTGGTGGGACCGCATAGTGTTGCAAGTCTGGGATGATTCCCAGTGGCTGTGAAACTTTCGCATGAGTAAGGACACTTTCATGGAACTTTGACTTGCTTTCCCCTGCCCTGAAGCGCATGAATACCAAGATGAGAGCAGCCCTCACAGTTGAGAAGCGAGTGGCGATAGCCCTGTGGAAGCTTGCAATGCCAGACAGCTACTGGTCAGTTGGGAATCAATTTGGAGTGGGCAAATCTACTGTGGGGGCTGCTGTGATGCAAGTTGCCCACGCAATCAAAGTGATCAGGAACAGTCAGCATGGATTCACCAAGGGAAGGTCATGCCTGACTAATCTAATCACCTTCTATGATGAGATTACTGGTTCTGTGGATGAAGGGAAAGCAGTGGATGTATTGTATCTTGACTTTAGCAAAGCTTTTGACACTGTCTCCCACAGTATTCTTGTCAGCAAGTTAAAGAAGTACGGGCTGGATGAATGCACTATAAGGTGGGTAGAAAGTTGGCTAGATTGTCGGGCTCAACGGGTAGTGATCAATGGCTCCATGTCTAGTTGGCAGCCGGTGTCAAGTGGAGTGCCCCAGGGGTCAGTCCTGGGGCCGGTTTTGTTCAATATCTTCATAAATGTTTTGGAGGATGGTGTGGATTGCACTCTCAGCAAATTTGCGGATGATACTAAACTGGGAGGAGTGGTAGATACGCTGGAGGGCAGGGTTAGGATACAGAGGGACCTAGACAAATTGGAGGATTGGGCCAAAAGAAATCTGATGAGGTTCAATAAGGATAAGTGCAGGGTCCTGCACTTAGGACGGAAGAACCCAATGCACAGCTACAGACTAGGGACCGAATGGCTAGGCAGCAGTTCTGCGGAAAAGGACCTAGGGGTGACAGTGGACGAGAAGCTGGATATGAGTCAGCAGTGTGCCCTTGTTGCCAAGAAGGCCAATGGCATTTTGGGATGTATAAGTAGGGGCATAGCGAGCAGATCGAGGGACGTGATCGTCCCCCTCTATTCGACATTGGTGAGGCCTCATCTGGAGTACTGTGTCCAGTTTTGGGCCCCACACGACAAGAAGGATGTGGATAAATTGGAGAGAGTCCAGCGAAGGGCAACAAAAATGATTAGGGGTCTGGAACACATGACTTATGAGGAGAGGCTGAGGGAACTGGGATTGTTTAGTCTGCGGAAGAGAAGAATGAGGGGGGATTTGATAGCTGCTTTCAACTACCTGAGAGGTGGTTCCAGAGAGGATGGTTCTAGACTATTCTCAGTGGTAGAAGAGGACAGGACAAGGAGTAATGGTCTCAAGTTGCAGTGGGGGAAGTTTAGGTTGGATATTAGGAAAAACTTTTCCACTAGGAGGGTGGTGAAACACTGGAATGCGTTGCCTAGGGAGGTGGTGGAATCTCCTTCCTTAGAAGTTTTTAAGGTCAGGCTTGACAAAGCCCTGGCTGGGATGATTTAATTGTGGATGGGTCCTGCTTTTGAGCAGGGGGTTGGACTAGATGACTTCCTGAGGTCCCTTCCAACCCTGATATTCTATGATTCTATGATCTGCTGATATCAAGGGTAGTGACTCTGGGAAATGTGCAGGTCATAGTGGATGGCTTTGCTGCAATGGGATTCCCTGACTGTGGTGGGGCCATAGACGGAATCCATATCCCTATCTTGGCAACGGAGCACCAAGCCTGCGAGTACATAAACCGCAAGGGGTACTTTTCAATTGTGCTGCAAGCTCTGGTGGATCACAAGGGACGTTTCACCAACATCAACGTGGGGTGGCCGGGAAAGGTACATGACGCTCGCATCTTCAGGAACTCTGATCTGTTTCAAAAGCTGCAGGAAGGGACTTTATTCCCAGACCAGAAAATAACTGTTGGGGATGTTGAAATGCCTATAGGTTTCAGAGTAACAGCCGTGTTAGTCTGTATTCGCAAAAAGAAAAGGAGTACTTGTGGCACCTTAGAGACTAACCAATTTATTTGAGCATAAGCTTTCGTGAGCTACAGCTCACTTCAGCTCACGAAAGCTTATGCTCAAATAAATTGGTTAGTCTCTAAGGTGCCACAAGTACTCCTTTTCTTTTTGCGAAATCCCTATAGTTATCCTTGGGGACCCAGCCTACCCCTTAATGCCATGGCTCATGAAGCCGTACACAGGCAGCCTGGACAGTAGTCAGGAGCTGTTCAACTACAGGCTGAGCAAGTGCAGAATGGTGGTAGAATGTGCATTTGGACGTTTAAAGGCGCGCTGGTGCAGTTTACTGACTCGCTTAGACCTCAGCGAAACCAATATTTCCACTGTTATTACTGCTTGCTGTGTGCTCCACAATATCTGTGAGAGTAAGGGGGAGACGTTTATGGCGGGGTGGGAGGTTGAGGCAAATCGCCTGGCTGCTGGTTACACGCAGCCAGACACCAGGGCGGTTAGAAGAGCACAGGAGGGCGCGGTACGCATCAGAGAAGCTTTGAAAACTAGTTTCATGACTGGCCAGGCTATGGTGTGAAAGTTCTCTTTGTTTCTCCTTGATGAAACCCCCCACCCCTTGGTTCACTCTACTTCCCTGTAATCTAACCACCCTCCCTTCCTCCCTTCGATCACCACTTGCAGAGGCAATAAAGTCATTGTTGCTTCACATTCATGCATTCTTTATTCATTCATCACACAAATAGGGGGATGACTACCAAGGTAGCCCAGGAGGGGTGGTGGAGGCGGGAAGGAAAATGCCACACAGCACTTTAAAAGTTTACAACTTTAAAATTTATTGAATGCCAGCCTTCTTTTTGTTTTGGGCAATCCTCTGTGGCGGAGTGGCTGGTTGGCCGGTGGCCCCCCCACCGCGTTCTTGGGTGTCTGGGTGTGGAGGCTATGGAACTTGGGGAGGAGGGCGGTTGGTTACAGAGGGGCAGCAGTGGCAGTCTGTGCTCCAGCTGCCTTTGCTGCAGCTCAACCATACACTGGAGCATACTGGTTTGGTCCTCCAGCAGCCTCAGCATTGAATCCTGCCTCCTCTCATCACGCTCCGGCACATTTGAGCTTCAGCCCTGTCTTCAGCCCGCCACTTACTCTCTTCAGCCCGCCACTTACTCTCTTCAGCCCGCCACCTCTCCTCCCGGTCATTTTGTGCTTTCCTGCACTCTGACATTATTTGCCTCCACGCATTCGTCTGTGCTCTGTCAGTGTGGGAGGACAGCATGAGCTCAGAGAACATTTCATCTCGAGTGTGTTTTTTTTTCTTTCTAATCTTCACTAGCCTCTGGGAAGGAGAAGATCCTGTGATCATTGAAACACATGCAGCTGGTGGAGGAAAAAAAAGGGACAGCGGTATTTAAAAAGACACATTTTATAAAACAGTGGCTATACTCTTTCACAGTAAACCTTGCTGTTAACATTACATACATAGCACATGTGCTTTCGTTACCAGGTCGCATTTGCCTCCCCCCGCCGCGTGGCTACCCCCTCAACACTCCCCCCTCCCCGTGGCTAACAGCGGGGAACATTTCTGTTCAGCCACAGGCAAACAGCCCAGCAGGAACAGGCTCCTCTGAATGTCCCCTGAAGAAAAGCACCCTATTTCAACCGGATGACCATGAATGATATCTCACTCTCCTGAGGATAACACAGAGAGATAAAGAATGGATGTTGTTTGAACGCCAGCAAACATACACTGCAATGCTTTGTTGTACAATGATTCCCGAGTACATGTTACTGGCCTGGAGTGGTAAAGTATCCTACCATGAAGGACGCAATAAGGCTGCCCTCCCCAGAAACCTTTTGCAAAGGCTTTGGGAGTACATCCAGGAGAGCCGCGAATGCCAGGCAAATTAATCCTTTCACATGCTTGCTTTTAAACCATGTATAGTATTTTAAAAGGTACACTCACCGGAGGTCCCTTCTCCGCCTGCCGGGTCCAGGAGGCAGCCTTGGGTGGGTTTGGGGGGTACTGGCTCCAGGTCCAGGGTGAGAAACAGTTCCTGGCTGTCGGGAAAAGCGGTTTCTCCGCTTGCTGTCTGTGAGCTATCTACAACCTCATCATCATCATCTTCCTCGTCCCCAAAACCTGCTTCCGTGTTGCCATCTCCATTGAAGGAGTCAAAGCACACGGCTGGGGTAGTGGTGGCTGAACCCCCTAAAATGGCATGCAGCTCATCATAGAAGCGGCATGTTTGGGGCTCTGACCCGGAGCGGCTGTTCGCCTCTCTGGTTTTCTGGTAGGCTTGCCTCAGCTCCTTAAGTTTCATGCGGCACTGCTTCGGGTCCCTGTTATGGCCTCTGTCCTTCATGCCCTGGGAAATTTTGACAAAGGTTTTGGCATTTCGAAAACTGGAACGGAGTTCTGATAGCACGGATTCCTCTCCCCATACAGCGATCAGATCCCGTACCTCCCGTTCGGTCCATGCTGGAGCTCTTTTGCGATTCTGGGACTCCATCATGGTCACCTCTGCTGATGAGCTCTGCATGGTCACCTGCAGCTTGCCACTCTGGCCAAACAGGAAATGAGATTCAAAAGTTCGCGGTTCTTTTCCTGTCTACCTGGCCAGTGCATTTGAGTTGAGAGTGCTGTCCAGAGTGGTCACAATGGAGCACTCTGGGATAGCTCCTGGAGGCCAATACCATCGAATTGTGTCCACAGTACTCCAAATTCGACCCGGCAAGGCCGATTTAAGCACTAATCCACTTGTCAGGGGTGGAGTAAGGAAATCCATTTTAAGAGCCCTTTAAGTTGAAATAAAGGGCTTCATCGTGTGGATGGGTGCAGGTTTACATCGATTTAAGGCTGCTAAATTCGACCTAAAATCCTAGTGTAGACCAGGGCTCAGGGGTGTGACTCAGCCACGGCCAAGTGACGTAAGTTATACCAACCTAAGAGCCAGTGTGATAGCTACTGCCTCTCGTAGAGGTGATTTTAATATGCTGATGAGAGAGCTCTCTCCCGGTCTCCCATCAGCATAGAACATCTTCACCAATTGCACCATAGCAGCCAGTTTGAGCTTCTACTGTAGATCTGCCCTGAATCACAAGGCTTCCCTGATGCACATTCAACAAAGGGATCTTTTATCTTCCATTGTGTCCTGATTCTTTTCCAGCAGGGCACAACCTGAACTTCAAAGGGTGAGTTCCAGTACTTTTTTCCCCCCAGGCAAGATCAGAGCTGGCAGCATTCCTCAAATTCAGTAAAAATAGCTCCTCACTATCTTACTAGAACAAGAACATATTATGCAGAGAATGAGATAATGATCACATGAAATAATATTTTAGAGAGAGAAGAAAGGAGGAAAGAGAACAATTCATTCTAAGCTCTGATTGGAGCTATTCTAAAAAATATACACATATTTCCTAGATAATTTGCTATTCTCTGCTTTCGGTTCAGATCCATCCTGCAGCATTGCAGGAACTCCCTGTTTTTCCATCTCCCCTTGTGCTCTGCTTCCTAGCTCACACCTGCATTGCTGCAGCTCCTATGCTTTGTTTTCTTTCACCCACGCTTTGCTCCACAAAGAGGGAGCTGCAATACAATAGGATGACTTAATAGGATTTACCAGACTGGATCGTACCATTCATTCGTGCAATCAAGTATCCTGCTTCTAACTAGGGCTAATACCTGAGGCATGAAACGGAAGTAGCAGAATAAACCTCCATAATGCACCTATCTTGATGACTCCTGTAATAAGTTATTTTCTTATACCTAGAACCATGGGTTTTTCTCACCCTCTCCATCATTATATCTTAACTTGCATAGCTGCAAAAGTTACTAGTGTCATAATATTAGCCAGCTCTTTATAGCACCCAGCCAAACATTTTGTCACCATCCACATCTTCCTATGGCAGTGATTTTTGCAGGCTGTCTGTCCTCTGTGTGCAGCAAAAATTCTTTTTCAGTGGCTCTTATGCTACTGCCCCTCGATATCATTGCATCCTCTTATTCTTGTGTATGGGACATGGGAACAAGGAGGGAGCGATCCCCATTCTTTAATTTGGAATAATTCACTCAAGCCCCAAATAGATGGAATGAGCTCCCTGGTCCATTAAAATAGGCACTTATCCCCTCTGTTTTTAAGAAACCTTTGGTCTCTTAAGCCTCATCAGCGTGAAAGAAACTGAAATTGTGACTGAAGCATGAGCTGTAATATGAGAAATAAACAAAAATGTGTCCTTACTGTCAAAAAGCCATAAATACCCTCTCTGCACCCTGTACACAGGGTCTGAGTAGTAGGTGGCATAGAGGCCCGGCTTGCTGGAATGAGGAAGGGTTGAGGATCTAGATGCTGGCTGGGATCATATCCTCACACAGAAGTCAGCAGACTGGAGGTAGGAGTTTGAACTTTGTGAGTCTTACATCCTTTGGATGCACGTGCGGCCCAGTGAGTAATTTTTGTTTTTACTGCTGCCTTGTGCCAGGCCGCGTTACCATGAGCTTGCCGCTGAACCCCAAGCCCTTCCTGAATGGGCTGACAGGGAAGCCGGTGATGGTGAAGCTGAAGTGGGGGATGGAGTACAAGGGCTACCTGGTGTCTGTCGATGGCTACATGAACATGCAGCTTGTAAGCACAGAAGAATACATAGATGGTGCATTGTCAGGATACCTTGGTGAAGTTTTGATAAGCTGTAAGAATGTCCTGTACATCAGAGGAGTAGAAGAAGAAGATGGAGAAATGAGAGAATAAGATTGTATATTTCTGGAAAATAAAGATCAGTTTTTCACAAAAGAGAATAGCAATTCTATCAGAGATCCCACAGGAGGCGAACCTGTGCCACCGCTGATAGCCCCTGCTGCTCTCCACAGCTCCTTCACTGGATTACTTCATTGAAGTCAGGCTGCAAGGGATCCACTCAGCTGCTGTTCCCCAGTGCTTCCCTTTAGGGGGTTTAACTAGAGTGTAGGGACCCGTTGAAGAGTTAATTAAGCCTCATGCTACATCATCTGGCTTCCAGTTTTTCTGCAGGGTTTTAGAGGGGACTATATGCATCTCCCTCTTTTCCGCCCCCCTCAGACTGCCCCTCTAGAGCTATGGATCCCTCACCCTCTGAAATGGCCTTTGGGAGGTCCAAGGTGGGAGGGAATAGTGCAACAGACACAGCTGAGACCCTCTATGCTAGGAGGAGGTGGATCCAGAAGGAGACCCTCTGAGACCCTAACACTAGGCAGGCATTTGGCCTAGTACATTCCCCTCTCAAACTAGCCACAGGAAGGTAATGCTCCTCTGAGCAGCACTGACATTTCCTGTACACAATTCAGGTGGTTTTATTAGACGTGAGAGATGAATTCAGAAGAGTAATTGAAGCTGCATGAGGAGGCTGGTGAGAAGGTGAATTCCCATTCTGTCTGGGTCTACAAAAACTCCACCTACCAAACCACTCTAGTTTGGTTACAGGTTTATCTATCAGGTTAGAAACATTACATCATCAGTTTTCTGGATTTTTGTTCCCACTGTATTTTTCTCCCTTTTAAATTTGTTTCCTTCTTTCTCATGAAAAAAGGAGGGTAAAGGTTAAGAAGTGTCTGAAAGTAGGGAAAACATAACATGCTCACTTTTATCCAACCCTTTTTTCCAGTTGGAAAATAGTAAATAAATGTGAAAAGTAGGGGCTTCCCTCCATTGTCACAAGATTTTGTTTATAATTTTCCAGTCAGAAATTTGACTGCTCTATCGGTTGATCCTATTACGAGCACTGAACACTATTACTTCTGTGGATGTAGTAGCTCTGCACAAATGAACCCTGTAATAAATGAAGTGGGGAAGTAGCTCCTTTTTATAAAAAGAAAAGGAGTACTTGTGGCACCTTAGAGACTAACCAATTTATTTGAGCATGAGCTTTCGTGAGCTACAGCTCACTTCATCAGTGAAGTGAGCTGTAGCTCACGAAAGCTCATGCTCAAATAAATTGGTTAGTCTCTAAGGTGCCACAAGTACTCCTTTTCTTTTTGCGAATACAGACTAACACGGCTGTTCCTCTGAAACCTCTCCTTTTTATAGACACCCAGCCAGCCAGTTAGCTACAAAATCCCTGTTAGTAGCTGTTCTCTACTTGCTTTACCTGTAAATCGTTAAAAAAGCCCATAGGTAAAAGGAAGGGAGTGGGCACCTGATCAAAAGAACCAATGGGAGGGTTAGAACTTTTAAAAATTGGGAAAAAACTTTCCCTTTGTCTGGCTGTTGTTGTTCTCCAGAGAGAGAAGACACAGAGCAGCAATGCTGTAAGAAGCTTTAAACCAGCTATAAAAATTCATCAACTCATACCTAGGAATTACTTATCTGAAACCCCAGATATGTAAGTAGATCAGGGAATGTCTAGGAAGACACAATCAGGTTTATATCTTTTATTTCTGTAAGGCTTGTGGACTCCTCTGTGCTAACCCCCAAATGCTTTTGTTTTGCTTGTAACCATTAAGCTGGACTTCAAGAAAACCATTCTTGATGCTTCTTATTATATTTTCTCTTTTTAAATCTAGCAATAGCCTACATTCCAAATGTATTTTCTTTTTTTGTTTTTAATAAAATGTACCTTTTTTAATACCAGGATTGGGTTTTTGTGTCCTAAGAGGTTTGTGCATATGTTGTTTAATTAGCTTGTGGCAACAGCTGATTTCCTTTGTTTTCTTTCTCAGCTGTTCCCCGGAGCAGGGTTGAAAGGGCTTGAGGGTACCCCAAGTATGCCTTCCTGGGTCCAAAGGGGATATTTTTTTTGCATTTCAGTGGTGGTAGCATCTACCCATCCAAGGTCAGAGAGAAGCTGTAACCTTGGGAGTTTAATACAAGCCTGGAGTAGCCAGTATTAAGTTTTAGAATCCTTGTGGGCCCCCACCTTCTGCACGCGAAGTGCCAGAGTGGGGAATCAGTCTATACAGACCCTTTCAAAGTTGTAACATATAGCATGAAGCTTACCAGGGAGACTGTTTCTACACTATGTCATATGAATCCTGGCTGTCGCACCAAGCCAGCATAATGAATGTGTGATGCTATCTGTTGGGATCCACCCAAAATTTATGCATGTAATCTCCTGAGCATATCCTTGTGAGTAATATTTTATATAAACAAATACATCATGCAACATAAAGAGGATATGAAAGGATTCATCACCTGGTTCAACATGAAAATGGGAGGAAAGTTGCCAAGTGTAAATGGATGTGATTTTGAAGATAAGAACTTCAGAACAGGTGGAAATCCAAGGGTATTCTGTACCCTGGCCGTAACCCTTTAAGAGTGTAGGGCTCAGTTGTGATCTCAATTACACCCATGGAGTTCACACTGAAGTCATGGGGAGTTGAGTGGACATACTGGAAAGCACAACCAGGTCCTTGAATTTCAAATGTGAAATTCACTTCACCCACATATAGTGCAAATAATTGGGTGGGGAAGGTCATGGACTTAGGGAGGCAAAACCTACCTGAAGCCTGGTGAATGCAGTGTAGCACTCCCCCACTTGCTTCTATGCCAGGCACTCTCAAGTGGATCCACATAGATGTTGGATCCCATGGCCCCATCCCTAGCTCATGTCTGTGCTGGGCTATGTGGCTGCACAGAGGAACCTCCCCCTCCCCCCAGAGCACAGGGGCTGCCAAAACTTCCCCATGCCACTCCACCAGCACCTTGACATAGGGCTTCAGTGCTGCAGAAGGCCTTCTGGTGGCCCTGCACACCAGGGTGAATTTCATCTTAAGTGTTTGCTGTGTGAGATGTTGAATTAGGTCAGGCCAGAACTTGGCGGAGCTTGTTCAGCAATCTCATGGTTTTAAACAATTCTCAGAAATTGCTGCAGGCATATTGGAAGGCAAAATCACATCAGCCCATCCTGGTTCCGCCTTGTCTAGTGCTCTTAGTAACAAAGCGGCATTTCTTGCCTGACATCTAGGGCGCAGTGACCCTTAGGCGATGTTCTTAGTCAGCATGAAACCTGAATAAATCATATGAAAGCACAACGCAGCCAGAGGGACAAAAACAACAACAGTTGTAGCTTACATCTTACCCAGTTCATGAACTGCTGGGTTCATTGAGAAGTAAATTAAAGGGGAGGCTGTCAAGTTTAGATCTGTGGTTCCGGGCAAGGATTTACAAAATAATCTCACATGTGCAGAAATGTTCTTCTGAAATGTCTCTGTGTAAATTGGCACTACAAAGTATTTTTGTATTTAAAGCATCCTGTGCACTGTTGTGAACCAGTACACAAAAAAACTCAGCTAGAAAAATGAAACAAACTATAAATAGAAAGACAAGGTGGGTGAGGTAATAGGGTGGGTGAGGTAATAGCTCTTTATTGGATCAACTTCTGCTGGTGAAAGGTACAAGCTTGCGAGTTACACAGAGCTCCTTGTCAGGTCAGGGGAAGGAAACAGAGGGTCTGAGCTAAATACAAGTTGGAACAGATTGTTAAGCAGAAGGGTAACATACTGGAGGTGCTCACTTGAAAAGAATGAGCGGTTAGGGGCTAGATTGTTATGCATAAAGGGTTTGAAATGAGCAATTAAGGATAGCAGGCAGTAAGGTGTGTCACAAATTGTTGCAATGAGCCATAAAACCAGTGTCCCTGTTAAGCTCAGGGTTTTGAATTTGAAGGTATTGTGCAACTTTCCATTAAGGACAAGTATTGAAAGATCAGATATGGAGTGATTGCTTTGTGAAAAGTGTTCACCACAGGTGATGTGATGTTTGTGTCTTGTATCATTGTTCTGTGTGAGTTCATTTGAGAGCCAAGCTCCCATCCCCACCCCATGCCCCACCTCACCTCCGCCTCCTCCCCCTCCCCTGACCACACCACGTCCCCATTCCTCCACCTACCTCGGAATAGGGGCAGGGAGGGGGCTGAGTTGGGGTGGGGACTTTGGGGAAGGGGTTGGAACGGGGGCAGGGCAGGGGCCGAGCACCCACCAGCGCCAGTAGAAGTCAGCGCCTATGGTTTGAAGGCCAGGAGAGAGGGTTCAAAAAAAGTTTTTTCAGGATATCAAAATATTTAATAATCTGTCTCAACTTGTATTTAGTTCACTCTGCTTCCTGGCCTGGTGTCCTGGCCAAATTTACCTAATTATGTTCTGCCCATCCAAAATTCCCCCTGCAGTTTCAGCTGATGCTGGCATTCCTCACTTCTGCAGTGCCGTGTTGCTTAAGGTTATGTCATGTGAAGTGCCCCATGGCTTTCTCAGTTTTGTTTCTATTTAATGTGCATATGAGGAGGCTTCTGGGAGGGATAGTAAGGAGACATAGTCTACATTGTCTCCAATACACTGGTGATACCCAACTCTATGTCTCCATAACATTCCGCTCTGCCAGCGGCATGGCATGAATGATGCACTGCCTGTGTGGGACCGAGGCCTGCATGAGGGCAAGCAGACTAAGATTCAATCCAGATAACACTGAAATACTGTTGGTAGGTTGGGGGAAAGCCAACAGAAGAACTGGCAAAGACTGTATCAGCAATTCTGATTGGAGGCATGCATCCACTGTTTGGGTAGAAATAAATGGTCAGTTTTCGAATGGAGAGAGTTAAATAGTGGTGTCCCCCAAGGGTCTGTACTGGGACCAGAACTATTCAACATATTCATAAATGATCTGGAAAAAGGGGTAAACAGTGAGGTGGCAAAATTTGCAGCTGAGACTTAACTACTCAAGATAGTTAAGTCCAAAGCAGACTGCAAAGAGCTACAAAAGGATTTCACAAAACTGGGTGACTGGGCAACAAAACGGCAGATGAAATTCAATGTTGATAAATATACAGTAATGCACATTGGAAAACATAATCGCAACTATACATAAAAAATGATGTGGTCTAAATTAGCTGTTACCACTCAAGAAGGATCTTGGAGTCATTGTGGATAGTTCTGTGAAAACATCACAAAACTGCAGCCGCAGTCAAAAAACCTAACAACGTTAGGAAACATTAAGAAACGGATAGATAAGACAGAAAATATCAAGTTGCCTCTATATAAATCCATGGTACGTATGCCCACATTATGCAGATGTGGTCGCCCCTCTCTAAAAAGATATATTGGAATTGGAAAAGGTTCAGAAAAGGTCAACAAAAATTATTAGTTTTGTGATTTTGTTCCAGGCCATTTTCTGTTGCAAACATTTCATTTTTGGTGATGGTTTTGTCAAGCTGGCAAAGTTGCCTTTCAAAATATGGAAAATCAGAAACGTTAACATTTTGCTCTTCACTCCAGAAATTCAGCTGTACTTTCAAGTGGAAAACGGTGACAGTATGAAATATTTTAAAAAGGCAGAATAAAATGTGAAAAAAATATTGATTGAGGTTTTAAAATTTTATTTCACTTTTTTATACATCTTTACTTGGAAACACATACATTTTTTGATATAAGAACTCTAATTCTCTTGAAACAGCTTGAGACAATACTTTATAAGGTTAGAGACCAAAACATGGCCCTGGGTTCTTGATGATATTCTGCCCCAGGCCATGAAGGACCCAGGTGAGCAGAGGCAGTCCTCTGCTGACAAGACTGGAGCCTAGGACAGTACTAAAAGCTTAGCTAAAACTCTGCTAAAAAGATATATTCAGGGATAGCAAATATATTCTCACTGAGCGCATCCATCCAGAGAAAATCTATAAATGTTTTCTGCACCACAGCAGTGCCACCAGCAATAATGTTGGCAAATGCTGTAGCATAGACAAGGTGTAGGTGTCTTTACCATAGTGTTATCGAATCCTATTTTATTGCCATCACGTTTCTCATCAACAGCCAAGAAGGCTTGTTTCTTCCAGTAGGGATAACAAAACAGCATTGCCTAGCTTCTAGTGGTTAGAGCATGGGACTGGAAGCCACGAATCCTGTTTCTGGTTCTACCACTGACCTGCCATGATCTTGGGCAAATCACTGTCTCTCTCTATGCTTCTTTCCTGCCACCTATAAAGATACTGTTGATCCCCACCCAGGGTTGCTTAGAAGGTTAATGGTTATTTAGGATATATAGAGTCAGAGGCATGCGTGGTGTTTAAAAAAGCAAATATAAAGATGGGGGCCCTAGATTCTCAGAGAAGGGGTTGCAGATCCTTGATCTTGAGGCCACTTCTATGTCAGCCCCAGCAGAGATCAGAGCAGAGTGGAGGCTTCTCTTGTCTACACTGGCTGGCTATGACCCTCCAAGGGACCACCTACCAGCCAGGAATAGCTGGAGTGCAGCATCACACCCGCTTCCCAGCCCCAACACCAACGGCTACTGGATGGTGGTATAGACAGTGGTTTTATGTGTACTGGGGACTCCCCCTTCAAGGCGAATGCCTAGGGAGGGACATCTGATAGCTTTCAGCAGTGAGGGGGCTACAGAGAGAGCAAATCCGGGCTCAGGATTAAGCCCAAGGTCCCTGCCCTCAGGAGATTTAGTGTAAAATTAGGTCAGGACCAGGACAAAAGGAGAACGTGTGTGACTGGGGGAAGATGACAGTGGTAGAGAAATGGAGGGAATGTGTTTGGGTGCCCAGATTCCCATGGAAAGGGGCATGTCAATCTTGCATGCTTTGTTGATTTGATGTTTGTTACTTTCTCTTTTTAAAGGTGGGTCTACACTGCAGCTCGGACGGTGCAGGTAAAGAGACACATGTTAGCTCTGCTCCAGCTTGGGTGCTAAAAATAGCAGTACGGCCATGGCGGCACGGGCTAGCCACCTGAGAACAATCCCACCTGGCCTCTGCGTCCATACGCGGTTGGCCAGCCTGAGCTGCCGCCCATGCCGCTGCTCGAGCACGCAAGCTCAAGTGGAGCAAGCACGTGTCTACCCACACGCTCTGGGAAGCTCCCTCACAGCTGCTGTGCAGTTCTATCCTTAATGTACATTTATATGAATGAAATATCTGCCAATGAAATCTCTCGTTTAATTCACATTGGCAAAACTCTAAGATCCTTGGAGGAAAGGCACTTCAGAAGGACTAAATCTGACTACTCTAAGAGTTTAAAAAATGTAGTTCTGCACAGTGATTGCTGAAAAGTGTCAGGCTCCCAGACTTGGCCGTTCGTGTGTACTCTGTGTGTCCAGCATTTAGGAAGGATCACAGCCAAAGAGTTCTACCCGGAGAGCAATGCTTCGATTCCAGGTTTTAGGAACAATGCGGATGAACCTGGAAAATATGGGTGGATTTAAGAAATGCTTGACCTGTCCGCTGCTGTTCTCATTCCCCCTAAATACCTGAAAGTAAACAAAACAAGGAATTAGTTTGGGAAAAAATTATTAAAAAAAAAGCGGATGCATTTGTAAGGTATCTAAATACTTCAGAGTTGCTGTGTTCGGGAACCGGGAGATGGACTGAATCACACCAGTGGTGTATATACAGCCTTCCTCCTCTAGGTCACTGGTTCAAATCCAGTCAAATCCAAACTGTGGTCTCTGTTTCTGTCTATATCACAAAAACTATCACCACAATTGGTGCTAACTGGCCCCTGTGTTGGCTGGGGACTGACAAATCTCCCCTCTCTTATCCCTAGATGTGGTCCCTGCAGGTTGGGATTGAAGCACTTCTGTCAAGGTGGCTTGGGGGATTTTGTAAGTGCTGTACCTGCTGTGTGGATGTATGGAGGTCTCAGCTCTGTCAATCTGGGACCTTTCACCAGCACTAAATTCAATTAAAAAAATTAAAGCAAAAAATATTTTGCAGTGAAGTTTGGCAGAGGCTTCCGCATACACATTCTGTGCATTCCTTTGAAATGTCCCTCTTTAAAAGGCACACCACTGATTTCATCCCAGGTTCAACGGCATTCCACTCACATGTAGCATCTCCTCCCTTTTACTGGTGTAAATTATTTACATCAGAAATGAAGAGCCACAAAAGGGAAGTTCGAGAGTCCTCTAAAATAGAAGAACAACTCCGCCAGCATTTTAAATTCAACTACAGGAACAATGTTTTGTGCCCCTCATTCTGGGGCTGTCCCTTGTTTGGGCCTTGAGAAGTATGACAAAGTGCTCGGGATTCAGAAAAAAGGACAGAATTCTCCGAGTTTAAAATGGTACCTGTCATAAATATAAAGGGAAGGGTAAACCCCTTTGAAATCCCTCCTGGCCAGGGGAAAGCTCCTCTCACCTGTAAAGGGTTAAGAAGCTAAAGGTAACCTCGCTGGCACCTGACCAAAATGACCAATGAGGAGACAAGATACTTTCAAAAGCTGGGAGGAGGGAGAGGGACAAAGGGTCTGTGTCTGTCTGTGTGCTGCTCTTGCCAGGGACAGAACAGGAATGGAGTCTTAGAACTTTTAGTAAGTAATCTAGCTAGGTATGTGTTAGATTATGATTTCTTTAAATGGCTGAGAAAAGAATTGTGCTGAATAGAATAACTATTTCTGTCTGTGTACTTTTTTTGTAACTTAAGGTTTTGCCTAGAGGGGTTCTCTATGTTTTGAATCTAATTACCCTGTAAGATATCTACCATCCTGATTTTACAGGGGGGATTTCTTTATTTCTATTTACTGCTATTTTTTATTAAAAGTCTTCTTTTAAAAAACTGAATGCTTTTTCATTGTTCTCAGATCCAAGGGTTTGGGTCTGTGGTCACCTATGCAAATTGGTGAGGCTTTTTATCCAACATTTCTCAGGAGAGGGGGGGTGCAAGTGTTGGGAGGATTGTTCATTGTTCTTAAGATCCAAGGGTCTGGGTCTGTAGTCACCTAGGCAAATTGGTGAGCCTTTTTACCAAACCTTGTCCAGGAAGTGGGGTGCAAGGTTTTGGGGAAGTATTTTGGGGGGAAAGACGCGTCCAAACAGCTCTTCCCCAGTAACCAGTATTAGTTTGGTGGTGGTAGCGGCCATTCCAAGGATAACGGGTGTAATATTTTGTACCTTGGGGAAGTTTTGACCTAAGCTGGTAAAGATAAGCTTAGGGGGTTTTTTCATGCAGGTCCCCACATCTGTACCCTAGAGTTCAGAGTGGGGGAGGAACCTTGACATGGTGGCACAGTGGTGGGATTAACCTGAAATCATTTGAGATCCAGTTGAGATTTTTTGAACTAGAAATACAGATTTTAAAAAGGAAATTTTTTTTTCTTTGGAAAGAAAGTCCAGAAAGCAGCTTTGAAACTGAAAGCAGCTTGGTTTCTCTCTGCTTTGTGGCCAAGCAGAGACAAAAGGGGATTATCTTGTGAATTGCAGGTTTTCTTTGCCTGGAGGCAGGGTACTTAACTCCTGCAGGGAAATTCACAGTCTTCCAATCCAGGGTTTTTTTTTTTTCTTTTCTTCCTAAAAGTAAATAGGGGGTGTGTGTTCTACCCATTTGCTTTTTCTTTGGGCTGGGTAAGCAGGTTTCCAAGCAGTTGGAGGTTTTTTGCTTTAATTTGGGCCCAGAGCAGAGACAAGGGAATTGTCTTTTTCTGTAGGCTGACAATCACTATCAGAGAATAGGTATTCTATTCCAGCACAGCAAAATTTTACAGCCAAGTTTTGTTTGTTTATTTCTAAACCTCGGGTGTAAAGTTAGTAAAAACAGAGAGGTTAGAATGGCAAAATCCGCGGCTCGACTACAGCTCGAATTAGCCAAATTTCAGGCTGAGGAAAGACAAAGGGAACATGAAAGACAGATAGAACTCATGCAGCTGAAGAAGGAACAAGAAATGGAGGCAAGGAAGCATGTGGAGGAGGAGAGGGAAAAAGAGAGGAAGCATGTGGAGGAGATGGAGAGGATAAAGGCCCAGCAGAATATACCAACAAACCCTAGCAATCCTTCTCCAGGTACCACTTCCCATCCCAGAAAGTTCCCCACCTACAAGGCAGGTGATGATACTGAGGCCTTCTTAGAAAACTTCGAAAGGGCCTGCCTTGGGTACAACATCTCTGCTGACCAATACATGGTAGAGCTGAGGCCGCAGCTCAGTGGACCCTTAGCTGAGGTGGCAGCTGAAATGCCTAAAGAACACATGAACAAGTATGAACTGTTTAAATCCAAGGCGAGAGTCAGAATGGGGATAACACCCGAGCAGTCTCGTCGGAGGTTCAGAGCCCTAAGGTGGAAACCAGACATGTCATTTACCCGACATGCCTACCACATTGTGAAACATTGGGATGCCTGGATATCAGGAGCAAGTGTTGAATCTCCAGTAAATTTGCCCTTCCTAATGCAAATGGAACAATTCTTAGAGGGTGTTCCTGAGGAAATAGAAAGATACATCCTAGATGGGAAACCCAAAACTGTAATTGAGGCAGGAGAGATTGGAGCCAGATGGGTGGAGGTGGCAGAGAAGAAGAAAACTGGTCGCAGTTGGAGCGGAGACCAGAAGGGACCACCCCAGACCACACCCTATTACCGGGGGCCGCCCAAAGCCCCACCTACCTCCCAAAGAGCCCTCCAGACCCCTTATCGTCCCACCACCCCGTTCTCCAGCAGCCCTCCTCGCCCCAGTGACCCGTCAGCTGGACGATGTTTTAAATGTAACGAGCTGGGGCATGTAAAGGCCAACTGCCCCAAGAACCCCAACAGATTACAGTTCATTGCACCGGAATCACACCAGAGGTCCACAGGCCCAGATACCTCCCAGATACCCTTGGAGAGGAGGGAAACTGTGAGTGTGGGCGGGAAGAAGGTCACCGCGTGGAGGGACACCGGAGCACAAGTGTCAGCTATCCATGCTTCCTTAGTGGACCCCAATTTAATCAACCCAGAGATCCAAGTGACGATTCAACCCTTCAAGTCCAACTCTTTCAATTTGCCTACAGCCAAGTTGCCTGTCCAGTACAAGGGCTGGTCAGGAATGTGGACTTTTGCAGTCTATGATGATTATCCCATCCCCATGCTGTTGGGGGAAGACTTGGCCAATCATGTGAAGCAGGCCAAGAGGGTGGGAATGGTCACCCGCAGCCAGGCTAAACAAGCCGTGAGGCCTAGCTCTGTTCCGGAAACTTCTATCAGGACCCAGTCAGAGGTGATGGACCTGGACCCCAGGCCAATGTCTGCAACAGCAGTAGTGGATCCAGTCCCAGAGACCCAGACGGAACCAGTCCCAGAACCGGAACCAGCCGAACAACCAACACCAGACCCCGTGTCAGCACTGAATCCAGTACTTGCAACCTCAACAACGGAGGGCCCCACCGAACCTGAACTGGCAGCAGCCGATAACCCGACCCAAGAGGCTCAGCCGGAGCCTGAATCCCAACATAGTGCACCAGCGGAGAGCGGTTCACAGTCAACAGAAACAGCTCCATCCCCTATATCGCTTCCAGAGGGACCAAGCCTAGGTCCACAATCCCATGAGGAACTGATGTCTCCAGCATCAAGGGAACAGTTCCAGACCGAACAGGAAGCAGATGAAAGCCTCCAGAGAGCTTGGACGGCGGCACGGAGCAACCCACCGCCTCTCAGCTCTTCTAATCGATCCAGGTTTGTTGTAGAAAGAGGACTTTTATACAAGGAAACTCTTTCTGGTGGACACCAGGAAGACTGGCATCCTCAGAGACAGTTGGTAGTTCCAACTAAATACCGGGCCAAGCTCTTGAGCTTAGCCCATGATCACCCTAGTGGCCATGCTGGGGTGAACAGGACCAAAGACCGTTTGGGGGGGTCATTCCACTGGGAGGGAATGGGCAAGGATGTTTCTACCTATGTCCAGTCTTGTGAGGTGTGCCAAAGAGTGGGAAAACCCCAAGACCAGGTCAAAGCCCCTCTCCAGCCACTCCCCATCATTGAAGTTCCATTTCAGCGAGTAGCTGTGGATATTCTGGGTCCTTTTCCGAAAAAGACACCCAGAGGAAAGCAGTACATACTGACTTTCATGGATTTTGCCACCCGATGGCCGGAAGCAGTAGCTCTAAGCAACACCAGGGCTAAAAGTGTGTGCCAGGCACTAGCAGACATTTTTGCCAGGGTAGGTTGGCCCTCCGACATCCTCACCGATGCAGGGACTAATTTCCTGGCAGGAACTATGAAAAACCTTTGGGAAGCTCATGGGGTAAATCACTTGGTTGCCACTCCTTACCATCATCAAACAAATGGCATGGTGGAGAAGTTTAATGGAACTTTGGGGGCCATGATACGTAAATTCGTAAATGAGCACTCCAATGATTGGGACCTAGTGTTGCAGCAGTTGCTCTTTGCCTACAGAGCTGTACCACATCCCAGTTTAGGGTTTTCCCCATTTGAACTTGTATATGGCCGTGAGGTTAAGGGGCCATTGCAGTTGGTGAAGCAGCAATGGGAGGGATTTACACCTTCTCCAGGAACTAACATTCTGGACTTTGTAACCAACCTACAAAACACCCTCCGAACCTCTTTAGCCCTTGCTAGAGAAAACTTACAGGATGCTCAAAAGGAGCAAAAAGCCTGGTATGATAAACATGCCAGAGAGCGTTCCTTCAAAGTAGGAGACCAGGTCATGGTCTTAAGGGCGCTCCGGGCCCATAAAATGGAAGCATCGTGGGAAGGGCCATTCACGGTCCAGGAGCGCCTGGGAGCTGTTAATTATCTCATAGCATTCCCCACCTCCAACCGAAAGCCTAAGGTGTACCATATTAATTCTCTAAAGCCCTTTTATTCCAGAGAATTAAAGGTTTGTCAGTTTACAACCCAGGGAGGAGACGACGCTGAGTGGCCTGAACGTGTTTACTACGAAGGGAAATGTGCTGGTGGTGTGGAAGAGGTGAACCTCTCCATGACCCTTGGGCGTATGCAGCGACAGCAGATCCAGGAGCTGTGCACTAGCTACGCGCCAACGTTCTCAGCCACCCCAGGACTGACTGAACGGGCATACCACTCCATTGACACAGGTAATGCTCACCCAATTAGGGTCCAACCTTACCGGGTGTCTCCTCAAGCTAAAACTGCTATAGAACGGGAGATCCAGGATATGTTACAGATGGGGGTAATCCGCCCCTCTGAAAGTGCATGGGCATCTCCAGTGGTTCTAGTTCCCAAACCAGATGGGGAAATACGTTTTTGCGTGGACTACCGTAAGATAAATGCTGTAACTCGCCCAGACAACTATCCCATGCCACGCACAGATGAACTATTAGAGAAACTGGGACGGGCCCAGTTCATCTCTACCTTGGACTTAACCAAGGGGTACTGGCAGGTACCGCTAGACGAATCTGCCAAGGAAAGGTCAGCCTTCATCACACATCTCGGGCTGTATGAATTTAATGTACTCCCTTTCGGGCTGCGAAATGCACCCGCCACTTTCCAAAGACTTGTAGATGGTCTCCTAGCGGGATTAGGAGAATATGCAGTCGCCTACCTTGACGACGTGGCCATATTTTCGGATTCCTGGGCAGACCACCTGGAACATCTACAAAAAGTCCTTGAGCGCATAAGGGAGGCAGGACTAACTGTTAAGGCTAAGAAGTGTCAAATAGGCCTAAACAGAGTGACTTACCTTGGACACCAGGTGGGTCAAGGAACTATCAGCCCCCTACAGGCCAAAGTGGATGCTATCCAAAAGTGGCCTGTCCCAAAGTCAAAGAAACAGGTTCAATCCTTCTTAGGCTTGGCCGGTTATTACAGACGATTTGTACCGCACTACAGCCAAATCGCGGCCCCACTGACAGACCTAACCAAAAAGAAACAGCCAAATGCTGTTCAGTGGACCGGAAAGTGTCAGAAGGCCTTTAACAAGCTTAAAGCGACACTCATGTCTGACCCTGTACTAAGGGCCCCAGACTTTGACAAACCGTTCCTAGTAACCACAGATGCATCCGAGCGTGGTGTGGGAGCAGTTTTAATGCAGAAAGGACCTGATCAAGAATTCCACCCTGTAGTGTTTCTCAGCAAAAAACTGTCTGAGAGGGAAAGCAACTGGTCAGTCACTGAAAAAGAATGTTATGCCATTGTCTACGCTCTGGAAAAGCTACGCCCATATGTTTGGGGACGGCGTTTCCACCTGCAAACCGACCATGCTGCACTAAAGTGGCTTCACACCGTCAAAGAAACTAACAAAAAACTTCTTCGGTGGAGTTTAGCTCTCCAAGATTTTGATTTCGACATCCAACACATCTCAGGAGCTTCTAACAAAGTGGCTGATGCACTCTCCCGTGAAAGTTTCCCAGAATCAACTGGTTAAAATCGTCCTTGAGATGTGGAAAATATTGTTAGTCTTTATGTACTTGGTAGTATATTTAGAGATGCATGTGTCTTATTAACTCTGTTTTCCTAGAGCTCCAGGAAGAAATCCCAGCCAGTGTTTCACCCTAGCTGAGATTTGGGGGCGTGTCATAAATATAAAGGGAAGGGTAAACCCCTTTGAAATCCCTCCTGGCCAGGGAAAGCTCCTCTCACCTGTAAAGGGTTAAGAAGCTAAAGGTAACCTCGCTGGCACCTGACCAAAATGACCAATGAGGAGACAAGATACTTTCAAAAGCTGGGAGGAGGGAGAGGAACAAAGGGTCTCTCTGTATGCTGCTCTTGCCAGGGACAGAACAGGAATGGAGTCTTAGAACTTTTAGTAAGTAATCTAGCTAGGTATGTGTTAGATTATGATTTCTTTAAATGGCTGAGAAAAGAATTGTGCTGAATAGAATAACTATTTCTGTCTGTGTACTTTTTTTGTAACTTAAGGTTTTGCCTAGAGGGGTTCTCTATGTTTTGAATCTAATTACCCTGTAAGATATCTACCATCCTGATTTTACAGGGGGGATTTCTTTATTTCTATTTACTGCTATTTTTTATTAAAAGTCTTCTTTTAAAAAACTGAATGCTTTTTCATTGTTCTCAGATCCAAGGGTTTGGGTCTGTGGTCACCTATGCAAATTGGTGAGGCTTTTTATCCAACATTTCCCAGGAGAGGGGGGGGTGCAAGTGTTGGGAGGATTGTTCATTGTTCTTAAGATCCAAGGGTCTGGGTCTGTAGTCACCTAGGCAAATTGGTGAGGCTTTTTACCAAACCTTGTCCAGGAAGTGGGGTGCAAGGTTTTGGGGAAGTATTTTGGGGGGAAAGACGCGTCCAAACAGCTCTTCCCCAGTAACCAGTATTAGTTTGGTGGTGGTAGCGGCCATTCCAAGGATAACGGGTGTAATATTTTGTACCTTGGGGAAGTTTTGACCTAAGCTGGTAAAGATAAGCTTAGGGGGTTTTTCATGCAGGTCCCCACATCTGTACCCTAGAGTTCAGAGTGGGGGAGGAACCTTGACAGTACCTTTCCCACTGAAGTGGTGTTATCCATATAAGGTTTCCATTCTGTGCCTTCATCACTGAAAAGGATGGCGTAGGTTTTCACAAACAGCTCCACAGACATGGACTTGCAACCCTGGGTTGTGATAGCGGTTATCTTCTTCGCTTTGAGGAGATCAATCTGCAACCACTGCTGGTTGTTGTTTGACTACAATCAATACAAAGAGTAATGTGTGAGCAAATGTATGTTTGTGTCAATATTAGCACAACCAGAAACGTTGCTCAATGACAGTTAAAGTGGTATGAAGACATCCACCCACCCAGAACTTCAAACCTATGCAAACCAAGTTAAGGGAAGTGCTACCAGCATTCTCTGCGGGCCACACATCAGTTTAATCACTGCAGATGATACACGCTGACCCTCCATCCAGCATTCACTTCCATCGCCAACGCAGAATGAAAAGCAATAAAAATTCATCCCTGGTGAATTAACGTAGCTCTTATAAAGCACTTCTCATCAGTAGATCTCAAAGCGCTTTACAAAGTATCATCATCATCCCCATTTTACAGATCGGGAAACTGAGACATGCAGGGAACTGATTTGCTCAAGGTCACCCAGCAAGCCAGTGACAGAGCTGGTTATAGAATCCAGGCCTCCGGAGTCTCACTCCAATGCTCTAGTCACTAGGCAGTACTGCCGATCAACAGTAAAGCCAACAGGATTACACCAGATGAATTTGGCTCACAGGCCACCAACCTTCAGCGCTTACTCATCCACTGAGTCCAAAGAAACCACTCCCATGAGTAAGGGCTGCTGGGCCTGCTTCCAATCTCCACACAGTTTCATTGCTTTCCACGTCACATTATGAAATCAGTAAATGTTCTTTTTTTTAAAAAAGAACACCACCACCTCTCTCCCTTAAAGGAGCTGGGCATGTCCCAAACCTCCCGCTGGAAGGGAACTAAACAGGCTTTTCCCAGGAGGACTGAAAAGAAGAAGCCAGAGCACAGCATGGAGGGGACACAGGCACAGACATACCCCAGAGCAGCAGCACATTCGCTAACAGCGGCAGCTTTGACTGAGCAGTTTTTTCTTCTGTTTGCTTGTTACCTTTGCTTGCCAGGCATTCAACCTCCCTTGCTGATTGAGACGCGCGAGGGAAGGCTCCCATGCGTTATACCAGGATATCTTATAGGAAGAAGCTGTAATCTGAGCTTTTTTGATCTCCCCATTTTCCATTCCCAGCGGCAGAGAGCAACCTGTTAAGAGAATAGCAGTAGGTCTCCATTTAATCTCTTGAGCAGCAGTGGACCAGAGGAATAAGCAACAGGCTAGGAACGCCTGAGTTGTCATCCCGTCTCTGCCACTGACTTGCTGTGTGGCCTTGCTCAAGTCATTGTAACTGCCCTTGTGCCTCAGTTTCCCCATCTTTAAAAGGGAGGTAATGCAGAGTTGTTGTGAGCATTCATTAGTTAAAATGCGTAAAGCACTTTGAAGTTGTGAAGTGCTATCTAAATTCTAAATGCTCAGGATGTGGGAGAAGAGAATACATTTGCAGTCAGGGAGTGGAGCTCTCTTTGCCCAGTCATCACTAAAACGAAGCCCAGCAGATCTGTGAAATAAAAGGTTTGTTTATCTCTGCCTGTTATGGGTGAGACTGTGAAAAGCACCCAGAGTTAGACCAATTCTGACTGAGCGCTTTTGAAAGTCCCACTCTGTATTCTTATATTGCAATTCAAGGATTTCACAAGCATCTTGTGATGTTTGGATGCCCAACTTGAGAAACCCAGTTTTCAGAGGGTGGGCAGGGCTCAGTCTGAAAATCAGGCCTCTTTGAGGGGTCTCATGTTTGGCACCAAAGATCATGAATTGCTTTTGAAAATAAGAATGGGGGATTTCAATTATCCCCATATTGACTGGGTACATGTCACCTCAGGACGGGATGCAGAGATAAAGTTTCTTGACACCTTAAATGATTGCTTCTTGGAGTCCTGGTCCTGGAACCCACCAGAGGAGAGGTAATTCTTGATTTAGTCCTAAGTGGAGCACAGGATCTAGTCCAAGAGGTGAATATAGCTGGACCACTTGATAATAGTGAGCATAATATAATTAAATTTAATATCCCTGTGGCAGGAAAAACACCACAGCGGCCCAACACTGTAGCATTTAAATTTCAGAAAGGGGAACTACACAAAAACGAGGAGGTTAGTTAAACAGAAATTAAAGGGTACAGTGCCAACAGTGAAATCTCTGCAAGCTGCGTGGAAACTTTTTAAAGACACCGTAACAGAGGCTCAACTTAAATGTATACCCCAAATTAAAAAACCTAGTAAGAGAATCAAAAAAGAGCCACCCTGGCTAAACAGCAAAATAAAAAAGCAGTGAGAGGCTGTCATAAATATAAAGGGAAGGGTAACCACCTTTCTGTATACAGTGCTATAAAATCCCTCCTGGCCAGAGGCAACATCCTGTTACCTGTAAAGGGTTAAGAAGCTCAGCTAACCTGGCTGGCACCTGACCCAAAGGACCAATAAGGGAACAACTCAAATCTTAGGGGGGTGGGGAAAAGCTTTTGTTTGTGCTCTTTGTTTACGTGGTTGTTCTCTCTTGGGACTGAGAGAGGCCAGACAGAAATCCATCTTCTCCAACCCATCCTAATCCAAGTCTCCAATATTGCAACCAGTATAGGTAAGCCAGGCAAGGCGGATTAGTTTATCTTTTGTTTTTCTTGTGAATTTTCCCTGTGTTAAGAGGGAGGTTTATTCCTGTTTTTGTAACTTTAAGGTTTTGCCCAGAGGGGGATCCTCTGTGTTTTGAATCTGATTACCCTGTAAAGTATTTTCCATCCTGATTTTAGAGAGGTGATTCTTTTACCTTTTCTTTAATTAAAATTCTTCTTTTAAGAACCTGATTGATTTTCCATTTGTCTTAAGATCCAAGGGTTTGGGTCTGTGTTCACCTGTACAAATTGGTGAGGATTATTATCAAGCCTTCCCCAGGAAAGGGGGTGTAGGGCTTGGGGGGATATTTTGGGGGAAGACGTCTCCAAGTGGTCTCTTTCCCTCTTCTTTGTTTAAAACGCTTGGTGGTGGCAGCATACTGTTCAAGGCCAAGGCAAAGTTTGTACCTTGGGGAAGTTTTTAACCTAAGCTGGTAAGAATAAGCTTAGGGGGTCTTTCATGCAGGTCCCCACATCTGTACCCTAGAGTTAAGAGTGGGGAAGGAACCCTGACAGAGGCAAAAAGGCATCCTTTAAAAAGTGGAAGTTAAATCTTAGTGAGGAAAATAGAAAGAAGCATAAACACTGGCAAATGAAGTGTAAAAATACAATTAGGAAGGCCAAAAAGGAATCTGAGAAACAGTTAACCAAAGACTCAAAAAGTAATAGCAATTTTTTTTTTAAAGTACATCAGAAGCAGAAAGCCTGCTAAACAACCAGTGGGGCCACTGGATGATGGAGGTGCTAAAGGAGCACTCAAGGACAATAAGGTCATTGCGGAGAAACTAAATGAATTCTTTGCATCGGTCTTCATGGCTGAGGATGTGAGGGATATTCCCCAACCTGAGCCATTCTTTTTAGGTGACAGATCGGAGAAACTGTCCCAGATTGAGGTATCATTAGAGGAGCTTTTGGAACAAATTATAAATTAAACAGCATTAAGTCACCAGGACAAGATGGTATTCGGCCAAGAGTTCTGAAGGAACTCAAATGTGAAATTGCAGAACTACTAACTGTAGTCTGTAACCTATCATTTAAAATCAGCTTCTGTACCAGATGACTGGAGGATAGCTAAAGTGACACCAATTTTTAAAAAGGGATCCAGAGGTGATCCCGGCAATTACAGGCCTGTAAACCTGACTTCAGTACCGGGCAAACTGGTTGAAACTATAATAAAGAACAATATTGTCAAACATATAGATAAACATAATTTGTTGAGGAAGAGACAACATGATTTTAGTAAAGGGAAATCATGCCTCACCAATCTATTAGAATCCTTTGAGGGGGGTCAACAAGCATGTGGACCAAGGGGATCCAGTGGATATAGTATACTTCGATTTTCAGAAAGCCTTTGACAAGGTCCCTCACCAAAGGCTCTTACGCAAAGTAAGCTGCCACAGGATAAGAGGGAAGGTGCTCTCATAGATTGCTAACTGGTTAAAAGATAGGAAACAAAGGGTAGGAATAAATGGTCAGTTTTCAGAATGGAGAGAGGTAAATAGTGGTGTCCCCCCAAGGGTCTGTTCTGGGACCAGTCCTATTCAACATATTCATAAATGATCTGGATAAATGGGTAAATGGTGAGGTGGCAAAATTTGCAGATGATACAAAACTACTCAAGATAGTTAAGACCCAGGCAGACTATGAAGAGCTACAAAAGGATCTCTCAAAACTGGGTGACTGGGCAACAAAATGGCAGATGAAATTTAATGTTGATACATGCAAAGTAATGCACATTGGAAAACATAATCCCAACTGTACATATAAAATGATGGGGTCTAAATTAGTGTTAACACTCAAGAAAGAGATCTTGGAGTCCTTGTGGATAGTTCCCTGAAAACATCTGCTCAATGTGCAGCGGCAGTCAAAAAAGCGAACAGAATGCTGGGAATAATTAAGAAAGGGATTGAAAATAGGACAGAAAATATCAAGTTGCCTCTATATAAATCCATGGTACGCCCACATCTTGAATACTGCATGCAGATGTGGTCGCCCCATCTCAAAAAAAAAGATACTGGAATTGAAAAAGGTTCAGAAAAGGGCAACAAAAATGATTAGGGGTATGGAGCAGTTTCTGTATGAGGAGAGATTAATAAGACTGGGACTTTTCAGCTTGGAAAAGAGACAATTAAGGGGGGGGATATGATAGAATTCTATAAAACCATGACTGGTGTGGAGAAAGTAAATAAGGAAGTATTATTAACTCCTCATAGCACAAGAACTAGGGGTCACCAAATGAAATTAATAGGCAGCAGATTTGAAATAAACAAAAGGAAGGATTTCTTCACACAATGCACAGTCAACCTTTAGAACTCCTTGCCAGAGGATGTAGTGAAGGCCAAGAACATAAGAGGGTTCAAAAAATAACTAAATAAGTTCATGGAGGATAGGTCCATCGATGACTATTAGCTAGGATGGGCAGGAATGATGTCCCTAGCCTCTGTTTGCCAGAAGCTGGGAATGAGTGACAGGGGATGGATGATTACCTATTCTTTCCCTCTGGGACACCTGGCACTGGTCACTGTCGGAAGACAGGGTACTGGGCGAGATGGACCTTTGGTCTGACCCAGTAGGGCCATTGTTATGTTCTTAAATCTTGGCCCATAAAAATAAAAAGTGGAACCTATTTTTCTAAGGTGTAGAGGGGAACGAAGTACCCGGGAGTTCTCATTGCTCACCTTCGACTTCGCAGCCCAGGAGTTCCATCCGAAGAGTAGGCCTGTTGTAGGAGTCAGTTGGATAGACCCTAATATACCTCGCAATGATAGGTGGATCAATATGGTTGTCTTTTATCCCATGGGCATCTGAATTACCTTCAAACAACTAGTAAAACAGAAAAAAGCAATTAAGAATTCACAAAAGATAATGATATTAATTTAAAGCAATTGCAAGCTTGGTCCTGCAAACCCTATGTCATGTGATTAAGTCTTTACTTATGCAATTTCAATGGGGCTACTCACATTATAGCAAAACCTAAAAATACATCATCCTTATCTTTGCCTTACTATAGCATCCAGAGGCTAAATCAGGGACCCAGTGTGTTAGGCGCAGTACAGACCCCTATTAGGATATTAATAGGCAGACAACTAAGACCAGTAAAGACCTAACGTGTATTAACGCCTATCATTCAAACACCACGGTACTGTGGGTATGGCTACACTACTGCAGCTGCAGGTGCAGCGGAGTGCTGGAGCTGTACCACTGTAGTGCCAGAGCGTTCCCCCTTCCTTTGTCACTGGAAGGGCTTTTCCATCAGTGTAGTTAATTCTCCTCTTCAAGAGGTCGATGGAAGAATTCTGCATCTACAGTGGGGCGTAGGCTGACCTAACTACATTGCACAGGGTGTGATATTTTTCAGAGCCCTGAGCAATGTAGCTAGGTCAGTTTGATTTTTAGGTGGAAACCAGGCCGCAGAGTTGAGCTCCAGCAGGTAGGGGACGGATGTTTGGGCATAGCTAGGAGACCCCTGGAAGGGCAGGTGCGATATGGACACCTGGGTTGCACATGCGTTAGGTAGCTACTGCTAATATTGCTTTGCTAACTATTGTGACAGGGTGCAAGGGCTGGTCCGCACTGAACAGTGGCAGGAGTTCAGCCCAGCGTCCCACTCTCCTTGCACATGTGCTCAGGGGAAAGACTGTGAGACAGAAGTGAGGCCTGTGCAGAAGTGGGGCTGCACAACCAGGGTTACAGGGCTGGGTTGAAGCCCAGGCTCGGGAGATTCCTTATCTCTTATTACGATCCTGTATTCTCCTTTGTTATACACACCAGGCCAGACTAGTAAAGGGATCTAGGGGCCTCATGATGCAGATAGGCATCTAGTGCTGTTTTCAAAACGCCCTTTAGGTCCTTTGGAATTAGTGGGATTTTCCAATCTGCATCTTCATGCGCCTAGATACCTTTAAAAATCTGACCCCTTATTCCTTGAGAAAAGCCCCTGGTGGCTGCCTGTTACTTTCTGCTGAGCTGCATAAAGTCAGGGAGGCTGTGGTGATTAACGAGCAGGCAGACCTTCTGTCCCCCAGTGCTGTTTCCTATGAAGGTGATCCACTTCCGTTTGTCCTTGCTGTAAGTCATAAAGAACTCTTTGACATAAAAGGACTTCATCCATTGCTTGGCTCCCTGCGTCTGTATCCCTGTGATCAGAGCTTCCCTTTGCAGGTCCACCTGTAGAAGACCAAGATACACAAACTGTAAGAAAAGCTGCACCGTGAACCCGATTTCATCCTCTGGCACCTAGGGCATGGTGCCCAGGCCTGCATTTAGGCACTCAGAATGGCACTTCCATGCCCGAGATGGGTAACGGGGTGTCTAAGCGCTAGCGCAAGAGTCCAAATGAGGAGTTGTGTCCTAACCTATTTTATTGGTGCGTGTATTTATTTGTAGGCATTTTTGGGGTGCCCACCACCACAGTATCTGGGCAGCTGACAAACATTAATGAATCCATCCTCGCAGCGTCTCTGGGCGAAGCAGTGGAGTGTTACTATTTCCATTGTACAGAGAGTGAGGCACAGAATGGGTAAGGCATAATTTCAAAAGCAGCCTCTGGTTTTGAGCATCCAGCCTGAGATAACCAGGGCTTGTTTTTGGGGGATGTTGAGCCCCCACAACTCCAGCTGAAGCCATCAGGGGCCAGGAGTGCTCAGCACCTCTGAAAAATTAGAACCTGGTGTCTCAAGCTGGGCACAGAAGCACCCTCCAAAAAAATCAAGCAACATTTGAAAGTTTTTGCACAAGGTCACACAGTGATTGTGTAGCAGAGCCAAGGTCTCCTGATTCCCGGGAGTGAGTGCCTTCACCAGAAGACCCTTCCTGCCCCCTTAGGTCTTCTGATGCTGACAATGAAAAGGTCAGTGATGTTGTTTACTAGCGAAGCTGTGCAGGGAAAGAAAGATGCTCTTTCTGGAGCAGATCAGAAGGAAAAAACCCCACAATTAGTTTAAAGGGAGTTTTCAGCCCCACTTCATCAAGCACAAACAGATTATTTCTCTCTCCAAGTTTTCTGCCCATGCAAAAGAAAAGCAATTCTTTTCATGGATTTCAGGGGGATTTGGAAGGCATCTGTAACCACAGACCCTGGTTTCCACTGAGCAAGTCACATGAGAGCCATTAACTCCTTCACAGCTGCTTAGACTGTTCTTGTGTATTTTTAATAAATAATTATGTTGACTATAATCACTTCCAACGTGTTGGGGGGAAGAAAGAAGAGAGGAAAGGTGTTGGGCTGATAGCTGGGGGAGAGTGAAGTCTTTCTTTTATCCACCCAACATGGGGAGTGACAGTGCAACCTTCCCCCACGCTAGCCCACCCACAGGCCTCCGCCCAGAGCTGCAGGTGCCATCCCCAGGGGTCAGAGGGGTGTTCAGTCTCCACGGCCCATCCAGTCCTTGGTCTCTCTTCTGAGACTCTCAGCTAGGGGGCCAGTTAGCACCAGTTTTGGTGGGAGAAGGGGTGGGTTTGTGATGTGGACTGAGAACATCAGCTCATTATACACAGGTCTCTGAACAAGGCTCATACTGCTGTGATTTTCTGGCTCCAGCAAAACCAGGCTGGATTCAGACAAGCGAGGTCGCAGAGAAAGCCTGCACATCCTGTTATCTATCTCGTGAGCTGTCCAAGTTCCTCCTTAGCAGCAGTTTTAATTGAAAATCCATAATAACCTGCAGCTGCTTATTGAAAGTTTCTCTTTGATCCAGTAAGATGAGCAAAGAGGCAATTTAGTTTTAGGTAGGAGATAGCACAGCTCTGACTGGGTAAGCAAGGAGTCTGGGAGGCTCCCATTTGCCACACCTGGTAAAGCAGCTGCCTAGGGATCACTCATGTCCCATTTAAGAGCATGAGCTGCAGTGACATGCAGGACATACCGTCTGTCAAGCTACAGAGAGCAGATACCACAACAAACAGGCAATTTCTGCAAAATCTTCTAGTGCTCCAGCCAGTTCTAAGGAAGTACTCAGCGTGCGCCTGATTTTCAAAACAGCTCAGCTACCTGTTAGGCACCGAAATGAAGTGACCAGATACTCAGAAGTACTCCGCATCCAGGAGTCTCCACTCTTGAACATCTGGCCAAGTCTTTAGGGGCCTAACAGGTCGCTGAGCTTCTCCAAGAACCTGGCCACTTGTTCTGGGGTTTCTGGACAGCCACTAGAATCGGAACAGGAAGAGCTTAAAGTACAAAACAATTTGTAATTCATTAACCGCCCCCCGCCCTCCACACACACACGCCATGTAACAGTTTGTGTCCTGAAGTAGAAACCAGATGTCTAACCCATGACTAGACTGGAGGATTAGCTGGTCACTCAGCAAGGGCTGAATACATATACACATTGAGAGAAGGGGACAGCAAAAGGACAGACTGTTTATCTACAGTATGATTGCCCTGCCGCTGCCCAGGGTATAAACTTCTCCGCAATTCCCTCCGACAACAGGTCACGACCCTGACACAATACTGGGTCAGTGACTCAGCACTCACTTGAAGAGGACCATGCGTCCTACTTGAATCACCAGTACCACTTCCTGCAACACCTGAGTTTTCCTCGGCAGCCTCTTTGGGAAGTCTAGTTATAGTTTGACCTTGTTTAACACACACGACACCTAAAATAAACCCAGCATGTGTGTGGTGGTGTAGCTGCAGGCATCAGCTAACCTGTCTGGACCTTACAGTGGGCAAGTATATATGATACCAACCATACCTGGATCCATGGAAATTCACCTTGCTCCATGTCAGTGCTCCAAGCATTATATTTTCCAGCGTTGTTTAATCTTGCTAATTTAGGTTCCCAGTAGTCTAGGTGGAAAAAAGGAACAAGGATAAAAGGTAAAAATCAAGGAAAACTAGAAAGCCACTGCGTGCATATTTCAGTTCTTCTTTGGTTTGTCCCGAAGGAAGAGACTCCAGTACAAATACCTGATAAACTGTAAAGCTGACAAAAGCTTCAGAGACATTGGATGTTATCAGCAAATAAAAATTGATTGTATCTTTGAAAACATTATAGTCAGAAAAGTGGCTTTAAAAATAACAATACCTAGCTCTTATCTAGCACTTTTCATTAGCAGCTCTCAAAGCACTTTATAAAAGGGATCGGTATCATTATCCCCATTTTACAGATGAGGAAAACGGAGGCACAGAGCAGTGAAGTAATTTCCCCAACGTCACCCAGAAGACCAGTGGCAGAACTAGAAAAAAAACTCAGGTCTCTTGAGCCCTCAGTCCCATGCTCCAACCATTAGGAGACATTGCCTCCCGTGGCACCCTTTTATTTAACATACCACTTCCTTTGGCTTTGTCAGCATTAGGAGTTGGAGTCAAGTTGAAACATGCAGCAGCTAGAGCTAAACAGCGTTCGGTTACTAGCGGCGGAGGCAGAGTCAAACCATGTTCTACGTCCACTGTGGAAAGCAACCCCTCGTGAAGGGCACTGTGTTAAAAATCAATTGTTTCTCTTGTCTGATAGATAATTTTCAAATGTGTGTGACTTGATTACTTCTAAAGCAAATGCCTTCAGAGGCATCCATCCCTCATAGAGGGCTAAAACCACAGGAAGTCTGAAGTCTCCAAAATAAGCCATTTGTTTATAATCGCAGGGAGGAAATAGCATCTGAAAAAAGTACCCACCCATGGGTATATGGAATGTTACCAAACTCTCCATCAAAAGCTCACCTTCGGGATGGGAATAAGCGTGAGAACTCAAAGACCGCAACATTGCTTGGAATGTCATTTTGCAGCGTTTTACTCCCTTATAATATTCATACACTGCACTTCTACATTTCATTCCCCTTAAAAAATAGCAATGAATTCTCAATGCTATTTTACAGCTGGAGAAACTGAGGTACTGGGGGGAGAAATGACTTGTCCAAGGCCACCCGGCAGGCCAGTGGCAGAGACAGGAATAGAACCCATGTCTCCTGACAACCCTGCCCTGTACATTAGCCAGCAAGTAGAACAGGAGGAGCAGAAAAGCCTGCCTCACTGTCAGAAGACAACAGTGATATGGGCCTGGTCTGTACACTTAAGTTTTGTCAGCATAGTCCTGCTGGTGAGAAGCAGGTTGGCAGGGGGAATCACACCTCCTAGCTGACATAGTTATGCTGGCAAGCTCCTCCCCCCGATCTTCTGGGGGTATAGCTAATGCTGTTCAGGGAGGCAGTGTAGCTGTCGCATCAGAACTCCTTCTGCCAGCCTAGGATGCATCTCCACTAGGGTGCTCTGCTGGCATAGCTATGCAGCCAAGCTCTGCAGTGTACACATGGCCTTGGGCTGCTCAGTCCTGCTCCGACTCTGGGCCAACAGAACCAGAGAGCTTTCTGAAGTCTGACAGCCTGTTAATTCCTGAAATGATGCCAGAAGACAGTAGCATACGTGAAACACAGAGCTGCAGAGAAAATCTACAATTGCACTGCCTGGTGCCAAGTCATAGTACTGAGGACCATGTCTGACCTTCTCAAATAATGTGTTTCAACTCACTTATGTGACGAGAAGCACTGATCTGTGAATCAAGTATAAGTCCATTCATTAGGCCCATTCGTAACTTGCACTCTAGAGAGAACACAAACATGTTTGATTACTGATGAGCTGCATTCCATAACTTATCAGGAAAAAGAGGGTCATTCAGAGTCATGTCTGAGGAGCTGGCTGGGCCTTTCTGAGGAGGTCACCCTTTGTGCCAACTCCCAATAGGGCACATTTGGGACTCTATCACTGTTTAAAAAAAAAGAAAGAAAAACAAGAAAAAAGAAAGGTCTGTATGCCCACAGGATCAAAATCATCTCTGCATTCAATTCCCTCAATAAAGGATTCATAGGTGATTTTAGGGAATCAACAAATGTAAAGTTAGTGCTCTGAATGCAATACAACAACACTTCTTTTAAATTCAGTTTACTATAATCAATCCATGAGCTTCCCCTTTTTAATCTAGCCATTTCCTCAATTCAGATGCTATTCAGTCATTACTGTTCCATGTCCTGAAAGGGAGAGAGAACTTTAGAACTAGAATCCTGTATCTTAGAATGATCATGATCAGATTCAGTACCTTTCTCTACAACGATAAAGGAGGCCTGCATTCCAGCTTGCTGATATTCCCCCACTTCGGTGTCTAAAAGCCACATGCCAGCTTTTGGTGGTGTCATTTCAATAGTTCGAAATGAGCCTTTAAAAGAGAGAGGAGAAAAACAAATCACAGCTCATCTATTGAAAGGTTAGCAGGAGATTGGCTGACACAGAATAGTGAGGCTGGATAAACCAGGGCCTATCAATCCTGCCCATTTCTGGTGGCTTGACAAAGTGCAAATATCCTGCACCTATTGGAAAGCATAGCAGATCCACGAACATCATTCTCCTTTTAATAAACAGGTTCTAATTGGAGACATGCGGGAATCAAAAGTTCAGATCTCAATCCAAGCTTCACCGCTTTAAAATTTACCTTTTCACATAACCTTGGATGCAGGCACATATTTTATATAATACCGCATACACAGTGTGTGCTGTGTGATCATGTAGTGAATGACCTAACCTTTTACGCTGATTCATGCTGTGGTAACAGTAACTCTGAGGGGCTGATGCTGGCCCCTGCTCCAGCCATGGCTCTGGCAGCGTGTAAGGGTTGTAAAGGAGTCACAACAGACCATGCACTTGAGGGGAATTCTCCCCGAGTCACAGCCGTATGCTGCTCCCACCATCCCGACATGTTCTTAAAAACCTCCAGTGATGGGATTCCACAAACTCGCTTGGAAGCCTATTTCAGAGCTCAACTACCCTTAGAGTTAGAAAGTTCTTCCTATTGTCTAACCTAAATCTCCCTGGCTGCAGATTAGGCCCATTACTTCTTGTAGGCCCTTCAATGGAGAACAACTGGTCACCTTCCTCTTTATAACAGCTCTTAACATACTGGATGACTGTTAGCAGGTCACCCCTTCAGGTTTCTCTTCTCAAGACTAAACATGTCCAGTTTATTTAACCATTCTTCATAGATCAGGTTTGCTAACCCTTTTATCATTTTTGTTGGTCTCCTTCAGACCGTCTCCATTTTGTCCACATCTTTCCTAAAGTGTGTGCCCAGCACAGGGGCCGGCTTCTAATTTCCCCTGGGGTGCTCAACCCCTGCTCGGCCCCAGGCCACACCTCCATCCCCGCCCTCCCTCTTCCAACCCCCACTCCACCCCTGCCTCTTTCTGACCCCTCCCCCGAGCACGCACCCCATTCCTACTCCTCCCCCTCCCAGCGCCTCCTGCACAGCTGTTCCGCAGCGGGCAGGAGGCACTGGGAGGGAGGGGTAGGAGTTGATCGGCGAGGGCCAGCGGCAGGCGGGAGTGGAACTTAGCTGCCGGTGTGTGCTAAGCACCCACTAAATTTTCTCCATGGATGGTCTGGCCCTGGAGCACCCACAGACTCTGCACCTATGGTGCCCAGAGTTGGACACAGTACTCCAGCTGAGGCCTCACCAGTGCTGTGTAGAGCAGGACAATTACTTCCCGGGTCTTACATACAACATTCCTGTCAATAGACCCCAGAATGATATTAACCCTTTTTCACAACTGCATCACATTGTTGACTCATTTTAAAGTTGTGATCCACTATAACCCACAGATCCTTTTCAGCAGTACTACCGCCTCACCAGTTAGTCCCCATTTTGTGTTTGTGCATTTCATTTTTCCTTCCGAAGTGAAGTACTTTGCACTTGTCTTTATTGAAGTTCATCCTATTAATTTCAGACCAATTCTCCAATTTGTTAAAGTTGTTTTGAATTCTAATCCTGTCCTGCACCCCTCCCATCTTGGTACCACCTGCAAATTTTACAAGCACTCCGTTATCCATGTCATTAATGAAAATATTGATGAGTTCTGGACCCAGGACTGACCCCAGATGGACCCCACTGGATAAGCCCTCCCAGTTTGACAGTGAACCACTGATAACTACTCTTTGAGTACCGTCTTTCAATCTCTTGTGCAACCACCTTATAGTAATTTCCCTAGTTTGGTTATGGCAGTGTCATGTGGGATTGTATGAAAAGCATTTTGATGGCAACAAAAAAGAGCTCTATTGAAATTATTAACTAGTTATTCATGGGCTCTTTCTTTTCAGTATGAATACTAAGGTCTCTAGCCACAAGTCTCCAAGCACTTTACAAAAGGCAATCAGCACTATTGTCCTCATTTTGCAAATGGGGGAAACCGAGGGACAGAGCAGGAAAGGAACTTGCCCATGTTCACACAACAGGTCAGCGGCAGACTGCCTCCCACCTCTATCTCCCCTATAGAAACCTGCTATGCCTGATCAGGACATCAGTCCATGCACTCCATACCCCATCTCCAACCTTGCCCAATAACTTACACTGCAGAGGAGGGCGGCCTCCGCTCCAGTCCCACCTCAATGAGGTCGATCAGTGGTTCTCAAACTTTTGCACTGGTGACCCCTTTCACATAGCAAGCCTCTGAGTACGACCCCCCTTATGAATTAAAAACACTTTTTAACATATTTAACATCATTATAAATGCAGGAGGCAAAGCAGGGTTTGGGGTGGAGGCTGACAGCTCGCAATCCCCCAGGTAATAACTTCGTGACCCCCTGTGGGGTCCCGACCCCCAGTTTGAGAACCCCTGAGGTAGATGATGCTGGGGTTGGGGGAAGTCCTTTCCAACCTCACAGGAAATGAACAGCTAGCATCTTGAAACACAAGACTTGACCATCGCTATCTTAATGTGCCCAAGCCAATTTCTGCTTCTGCTGATCTAATGACACTGAATTTTAGTAGAGTCACTCCAACATTACCAAGTGTAGGGTTTAGCCTCATAATTATGAGTCGAAATGACAAGACACTGAGCTGATATGTACCTGGAAGGAGAGGGTAGACACCAAGCTGATGCCCAGGGACTTCTGTGAAGGTCTGACCGTGAAAGTGAACCACGTGAATATCTTCTGATCCGCCCATATTCAACAAGTGCCATCGGACCAGTTCATCTTTATACATCCTCAGTCCTTGCAAGTGATATATGATCCCATTAATGGCTGAAAAGGAAAATATTACAAGAGATAAAAGAAACACACTCCAGCTGAGAGATAATAAAGATGTCAGATAGAGTTTGACCAGAGGATACAGATTGGATCTAGATCCAAATGACCCCAAAGCCTATAGCGTTTCAGATGTGATGTCCTGGTCCATGCCAATCTCTAGTGTCAACATATAATAATGACCTTCTCAGTTTATGAATTAAGTGTCATTGCAAGTGTAGTTGATGGTCATTCAAATAAGCGGGAATGCTTTCTACCTCCCTGGTGGAAACAAAATTAACAAAAGCCCCAGAAACTCTTGAACAGTTAAAGTAAGATAGTGTTGAAATTTATCTCTTTGAATGAGTCAAACATGAGGCCAGCTTGATTCATATTACGTTTGTGAGCCAAACTAACTCCATAAAGCCTATATTAGGGGGCCTAAATTAAGTTGTTTCCTCTTAAAGGGTCATTATCAAGTGGGTGTTGCAGCTCTGAAAATTTCAAGGGAAAAGCCCCCAGGGTCCCTGCTGGTAGTGGAAAAAAAAAGGTCTAGAAAATATGAATCAAGTGTTAAGCAATATCCAAATGTCTCTCTGAGATTGCAGACAGCCTAAAGCAATAGCTCTGAGAGGTGTGAACTATCCACTTCATCTGAATCGTGCATTGATTCTGAAATGTAAAGGTGATGATTTAAATAGTCATATTAAATGATTTTAATAGTCAGCTTTGGTAACTATTTCACTACTGATCATTTTAGTGGAAACATCCAGCAAATGTGCTTAATCCAATCCCAAACTGCCTCTCATCTCCTCAATTGGGGGATTTAATATTAAAATAAACTAACAGAGGTTACTGTGTGGATGGCAATATTCATTATAATATTACATTCAGAAAAACTCCATTTTTCAAATTTAAATGCAAGTGCCACAGAATTCACCGCCTGCTGCACCTGAGTGCCAGAGAATGCAGAGACCAGGCCACAGGATTTAAGCACAGCTTGCTGTAGAGTACAGGGGGCTTGACTATAATGAGACACACTCTATTAATGTCAATAGATCTGACTTATGCCTGACTTTAAGGACCATATTTTAAAAACATGGCTTCCATTTTTACATACCGTCACTTATTCACATGAATAATAGTACTTTACTGGCCAAGTTTCCAAAAGAGATCTCCCATTTAGGCACCTAAATGAAGTGATCAGATTTTCAAAAGTGTGCAGCACCCAACACCTCTCATTGTTGTGAATGCGGGGAGCTGCTGGGTCCTGAGCTCTTTGGAATAATTGGACACTTCTTTTGGTACCTAAGTGGGAACTGAATTCTTCTGAAGAGCCAGATTCTGTTGTGGATGCCAAGCATGTCTGAATATCCACCCGCTATGCACAAAGCCCCATCTGTGCCAATTAGAGCTGGCTGAAACCAGTGTATTCTGTTTCATGAGGAAGTTCAAAATTTTTCTGAAACACAAAAATATATTTTTGTGGGAAATGTAATTAAAACTGATGCAATTTTACACCATTTTTTGGTGTAATCAGATCAGCATTTTCAATTACATTGAAAACTGTTTCAGTTGAAATTTTCCTACCAGCTCTCCTGCCCAAAAAGAGCAGGTGGGGCCTGTGCTAGGCCTGGCTGAAAATTCTCTTGAAACTGCTTCTTAATAGAAAATTGATTTTTTTTAAATGAAATTCTCACAGAAAGGTTCTGTTTTCCATGGAAAACTTCAACTTGTGTTGAAAAACTGAAGAACCAGGGAGTTTACGGTTTTCAGCCTACAACTGAAAACTTCCTGTCCAAAACCTGAAAACTTCAATTTTTTGGCAAAAAGTCAAAATTTTCTGTGGAAAATGTTAACAAAAACATTTTTTCTGTTTTTGTCAAAATTTTCCAACCAGCTCTAGTCTATATGCATATTCTATTTTTATATGCACAAGGAATAGTGCAAAAAAAATTAAATACGTGCATGCAAATGATGTGTGCGTGCAAAGTTGAAGTGCACCAAGAGAAGCTGGGTTGAGATCTTTTTAATTCCTCCCTCTTCCCTCCCAACATGGATAACTGACAAAGGGAAACATTAGTACCATGGAATTTGTGGTATTTTTGCACTTCTGAGGTCTTCTCAGTGTAAGTCCCTTTGGAATGCTTATCAAAGTACCAACTTTTCTCTTCATCAAAGACCATAAAAAGCAGGACAAACTCTTGGGTATCTACTGGCCTGTTACTTGTACTGACCGTTCCCTTTCGACAGATCAAGATTGGACCAATCAAGCCTGAGTGAATATCTTTCTCCTGGAAGGCAATAAATACAAATTACAAGTAAAAGTTAGGGTTTCCCATAATACTTCATTAATAACAATTTGCACATTCACAGGGGCTTTCATTTGAGGATTTTCCCTTACAAGTGTTAACATCGGTGCACAGGAATTGCCAGACTGGATCAGACGTCAGGCCCGTCCAATTCAGCATCCTGTCTCCAACCGTGGCCAGTGCCAGATTTTTTTCATGTTTTTTAAATGCCCCTAAACTTATGGTGCCAGTCTCTGATCCCTGTCTAGTTCTGCAATATCCTTTTTGACATGGGTGGCCAGTTCCAGAGGAGGCTGTACCACTGATTATAAAATGGCATTATAATCGTTTCTGTATTGTTCCCCATCCTATTCTGTATGCATCATAACATTTTGTTTGCTTTTTCAACTACAAACTGCACACTGAGCAGAGGTTTTCATCGATCTGTCTGAAGTGACGCTCAGCTGATCCTGATCATATCCTGAGTTGATATGGTTAATTTAGAACCACATAAGGTGCAAGTAGTTTCACATTTTCTGTCCAATACGGATTATTTGTACACATCAATACTGAATTGAATCTACCATCATGTTGCCCATTCAACTAGCTTGGTTAAGTCTTCACAGTCTTCTCTGGACTTGGCTAACATAAATTAATTGGGTCATCAATGGATATTGCTACCTCACTATTCACCTCTCCCGCTTTCCAGGTCATTAAAAAAATGTATTGAACAACACTGGTGCTAATACAGAACCGTGTGGCCCCTTGCTGTAACCTTTTGCCATCATGAAAATTGTCCATTTAATCTTACTGTTTATTCACTCTTTTAACCAGCATTTGATCCATGACTACACTCAGCCTTGCATTCTATGATTACTTACTTTCTTCAGTAGCCTCCTGTGCGTGACCTTGTCAAGGGCCTTTTGAAAGTGTACATAAAATATGCCATTTGATTCTGCTTTATCTGCTATTTTACTGACACAGTCAAAGGATTCCAAGAGATTAGCGACACAACTTTCCTTTACAGAAACCATGCTGGATAGACCCTATCATACCATGATCTTCCAGATCTTTTATTATTCTATTTGAATGATTACTTCAACCAATTTATCAGGTACAGAAGTAAGACTTAATTAATGAATAAAGGTTGGGTAAAGGTCCCATTTTACAGATGAGGAACCCAGATCCAAGATGTATTTGCACATCACATTGCAAACATGGGGGCTGGGAGAATCTCTCAGCTATGCTATATTCCTAACTAAGGGCCTGATCCAAAAGTCTACTGAACTCAACAGAAAGACTTTGGATCAGGTCCTACATTTGGGGTAGAGGGCCTGATTCTCCATTGCCTTGTGTAGTTACTGAACTCTATGCAAAGCAGCTATGAAATGCTATCAAATCAGAATTCTCCATCCACTCATGCCAGTGGCAGCAATTTATATTCACTTTGCATAGGCATAAATGATTAGATGAGGAACAAGAGAGTGGTGAATCAGGCCCAAAAGAATAGGAAGCAATGCAAAGTGCTGTGAAGCCAGTATTTCAGCAACAAGACACAGTAGCTGTTATCCAACAGACTCCAGCACCCTTCTGCTTAGATTTCCTTACCGGGTTTACACCGGAGTAATAGGCCCAGGACCTACAGGCTGCTCCAGGTTGCATAGGTCCAGACCGCTTGGTTGCAAACCATACATAGGTATAGGTGTCATTTGGCTGAACTGCATCATCCTTTTTGAACCAGTCTGGAGACTCATCTTCATAACTGCTTCCCTCAGAGGATTTCTCATACAAAAGCCCATGGGAATGGAGGGAATATGGTCTGGATGCCAGATTTTTAAAATGAACCTAGAAAATAAATACAAGCAGATTCTTGATTAGCAGATTTGGGCCTAAACCAAGATCCCAGGCATAAAACACCCATGAACTGTGTAAAGTACAAATTCAGGATTCAGATTTGTCTACTGATTATGGGCTAGATTGTGCCTGGTTGGAGGTGGGGAGTGTAACTCGTGACACATCTTTACGGGGTGCAGCAAACTCAACTGTGCACAGCTAGTAGTATGTGGAGAGCAGGGTAATGGCTCCGCCTACTCCCTGCCCCCTTTCCAGCATTGTTCCCAAGAGGGAGAAAGTTGGGAGCAGTCCCTGCATTCCTGGGAGAACCCCAGTTCCAGGCAGGCGTACAATGGGTTGCACAAGGGGGACAGGGAGTCTTTATTCTTTCCTACACCCCTGGCTGGCTGTGTTAGATGGGGCACAAGCTAGTTCTACAGTAATACTAGATCCCAGTGTATGTAGCTCCCACTGATGTCAATGGGAGTTTCTCTAGTATGCATCTCCCTCACCCCAGAGGCGGACTGCCAGGGCAAGGAGCTTGTCTTTTCTCCCTCACTCTGAGGATGGAGTTCCAAGATTAGGGTTGGCTTTTGTCTCCCCCTGTTCTTGCTCCTGATTTTTATGTAACTCATCTGTTCCCTTTACGTACCAGAGAGCCTGGTCAAAGAAGTTAGAGAAAATGAGCAGGTGGCTAAGGGTTCGAATGGCGGTCCGGTGAGGCATTGCAGTACCAGGTTGAGGTCCCATGTTGGTGTAGGTCATTGCACGTCTGAGTAAACATTTCGGAGACCCTTGAGGAAGCGTTTTGTAGTTGGGTGTGTGAACGTCGGAGTTCCATCGATCTCTCGGTGGAATGATGAAATGGCAGCAACATGGACTCTGATCGAGCTCATCAATCATGCCCCACCATTTGAAGATTGAACTCAGGACCTCGCCATTCATCTCCCATTCGTGATCCTGGGAGAAGTAGCTGCTGAGCGTGTCTGCTGTTGCATTCTGACAGCCTGGCAGGTAACACGCTGAGATGTTTACATTGTATTGTACGCACCAATTCCAAAGTCTCATGGCTTCTGTGCATAGGGAATGTGAGCGAGCTCTTCCTTGCCTGTTGACGTAGAACATGCAGGCAATATTGTTGGTCATAATTCAAATGGATTTGTTTCGTATATGAGGTAGAAAGTGTCTGCAGGCATTGCTGACTGCTCGTAGCTCTAGCAAATTGATGTGCAGTGGGAGTCTCTCTGGGAGACCATTTGCCTTGTATATGTGTTGACTCATGTGAGCACCCAAGACTATCAGTGAGGCATCTGTGATGATTACTGTTGTCAGGGGTTTCTGTTGAAAAGGGATACCCATACAGATATTTTGTGGCCTTGTCCAGCTTTGTAATGAATTGAGGACATTTCATGGAACTTTGAGCCGTTTGTGTAGGTTGTGTTTGCTTGGTATGTATACCATGCTTAGCCAACCTTGTAGACTTCGCATATGTAGTCTTGCATGTCGTACCATGAATGTCGTGGCTGGTGTGTGTTCTAATAATTGTAGGACAGCGTGAGCCTGAACTTGAGGACTGACTTGTACCTCTTGGATGAGGTTCGTGAATCTGGTAAGGGGTAATGACACCTTGGCTTCTATAGCGTCGAGGTGTGCCCCGATAAAGTCTAGTTGTTCGACTGGGTTTATGGTTATTTCCGTTCGTTTATTTGTAGACCCAGCTCCCGGAATAATGTGATAGTGGACCGTACTGCATCCATTGTGACTCGTAGAGTTGGGCCTTTGATAAGGCAATCGTCCAGGCTAGGGGAAAATCATTATCCCCTGTTTGTGCAGATGAGTCGCTACCCCCGCTAGAGTTTTGAGAAGACTCTTGGTGTCGTGGATAGGCCGAACAGTAGTACTCCGCTTTGGAAGTGTTCTCGTCTACCGTGAATCACAGACATTTTCTGTGGGCAGGATGAATGGTCATATGGAAATAAGCATCTTGGAGGTTGAGGGCTGAAAACCAGTCCCCCTGTTGCAGCACTGGGAGTATCGTACCCAATGTGAGCATCTTGAATTTTTGGGATCTGAAAAACTTGCTGAGCTTCTGTAGATCCAGGATGGGTCTCCATCCCCCGCTCTTCTTCTGGGTCAGGAAGTAACAGGAGTAGAATCCCTTCCCTCTGAATTGTAGTGGTACTTGTTCCACGGCACCTAGTTGTAGAAGATGATTGACTTTTTGTTGTAGTAGGTGCTCGTGAGAAGGGTCCCTGAAAAGGGACAGGGAAGGGGGTAGGGTAGGTGGGCAGGAGGTAAAGGGAATAGTGTATCCTGACTTGATAACTTCCAACACCCATTGGTCCGATGTTATGGTGGCCCAGATGTGATAAAAGAGCTGGAGTCGATGGCCAAAAATTGGGGATGGGTCAGACGTGAGCGCTGTTTCGTGAGGGAGGTCGTTCAGACCCTTGACCAACTTTTCAAAATTGCGGTTTTGGAGGTGCTGCCTGAGAAGTCGGCGCCAGAGACTGAAGTTGTCGCCAGCGTTGTGATCATTGATGCTGGTATTGTTGCCTGTTTGAGGAGTCTCTAGGTCTCTGAGATGGTTGGTATTTCCTTCTTTTTGCAGGGCGGCTGTAAATCCCCAAAGTGTGGCCCAAGAATCCTTCACTGAAAAAAGGACCTTGTCTGTCTTCTGAGAGAAGAGTTGTTCCCGGTCAAAAGAGAAGTCCTCTACTTTTGTCTGGAGTTCTTTTTGTATCCCTGAGGCTGGAAGCCATGAGGCTCGGCGCATTACTGTGGCTGTGTCCGTCATTCTGGCTGCTGTGTCTGCTGTGTCCAATGCTGCCTGAAGGGCTGTTTTACCTCTGAGCTGGCCCTCGGTGATGATGGCCTGGAATTGTGTTTTTTTCTTCTGGTAGCTCAGAGGTGAGCTGGGCAAGTTTCCCATAGTTGTTGTAACTGTATTTGGCCAGTAGTGCAGAATAATTGGCCACCTGAAACTGAAGGGCGCCGGAGGAATATACCTTGTGTCCGAAGAAGTCAAGTCTTTTGTGTTCTTTGTCATGGGGTGTAACCTTGAATTATGGCTGTCTGTTATGGTGATTTACTGCCTTGACAACTACAGAGTTAGGAGGCGGGTGCACAAATAGAAAGTCTGCCCCCTAGGATGGTACATAATATTGTCTATCCACTCTTTTGCAGGTGGGTGGAATAGAGGCAGGTGTCTGCCAGCCTGTCTCCGCAGGATCCAAGAGGGCCTTGTTGATGGGAAGGGCAATCCTGGAGGTAGATGCAGGTTGCAGTATTTGTACCAGCTTGTGCTCGTTTATCTTTATCTCCTCTAGCGGGATGTCTTGGATTTGCGTGACTCTCTCCAACAGCTCTTGAAACTGTTTAAAGTAATCCGCTGAGGTTGGCGGTGGGGGCATAATCACCTCATCTGTGGAGAAAGATGAATTGCGCACAGGAGATGTACCATGGTCTGTGCCCGGCTCTGTGAACTCTCCCCCTTCCTGTGACTCTGAGGGTTGTGGTGTGGGAGATGCTAGGTTAGAGCACAGTTCACATCTATGTGCTGTGGACGGTCTAGAACGCTGACCCCTATGCGCTCCAGGGTTCCCAATGTGCCCATTGCATTGGGAAAGCCATAGGAGGGTACATCCATGGAGGTCCACACCAGGGTTGGTTCATCTGGTGTTTCGGACCCATGTCGCTCCACATTGGTCGATGGGCCTTAAGTGAGATGGGGGTATTGTCCCTGCATCTCCTCCTCTTCATCACTGAAGAACTGTGCCATGTCTTGTGGGCTGTGATCTCCTCTGGAGCCTGTGGGGGAGCCCTTGGCACCGAGTATTGGTGAATGTGGTGCCAATGAGATTTCTAAGTCTCTCTGGGGCAGGAGAGATGGTGCCAGTGCCCATTTCTGAGTAGTCGGTGCCAGGGGTGCTTTCTCTTTTGTTGATGGAGTTGGTGCCGACCGGTGTTGTTGTTTGGCCATTGCCCTCAGTGCTGACTTGGTAGTATCTTCCGGTGTCAGGGGTGGAGGCGTGGTGCCTGAGACACACGGTGCTAAGCTCCATACTGGCGAGCTCAGTGCTATGGAGGAGGCATGTTTTTGTCGGCGACTCAACTCCACTTCTCTCGCTCAGACCTCGGCAGTGCCAGAGGTGCCTGGAGTGTTATAGGTGCTCACCCGAGAGGAAGATGGCATCAGAGGCAGTGTCCTGGCAGGAGACCGCCTCTGTTTTCGCAGACCTCTCTGCAGAGATGTTTGAGACCGCTTTTTTGGTTTTTCAGAAGGTAGGTCTCCTTTTCCATCTTGAGGAGCGCCCAGAGAGGCCGTTTGCTTGTCCTTCTCAGGCTGGAGGGACTTCTCCATCAAGATCATTTTAAGCTGGAGATCCCTGTCCTGCTGGGCTCTGGCTCTCAGGTTGCTGCAGTGGGAGTATTTCTGGGGAATATGTCCCTCACCCAGACAGCGTATGCATAAAGAGTGTCCATCTGAAACGGGCATGGCATCACGGCAGGAGCCGCATCGTTTGAACCCTGGAGACCCCGGCATTTTAACTAATAACCGCCCCTTGAGGGGGTGCGATGTTGTCTAACGAATTAACAAGAAATTTGTTTTTGTTTTACTAACACTAACTCTAACTCTCTCTCTAATAGCCTATCTAAAAGCTATTTCTTAACGGTTTTTAGGGAGAACTGCTAAGACTGCCCCTTCGCTCCCTCTTCAGCAGAGGACGGTTGAGAAGGAACTGGAGGGCTTGGGTCGTGCGCATGCTACACACAGCACTAATGGCGCCAAGGGATGCCTACTGCCCACCCGCGACCCACACGGACCCTGCTACCATAAATCTCTGATCGAGGGATGCACCACCACTTAAAGTGGAGTATCCACAGAGACACTACTCAAAGAGCTATCATGTCCCATTCAATCTATCCCACGAGGGGTCAACACCTTCCTTACAGTAAATATTCTAAAACACTGCCCAGTTTTAAGTCCCAAGAGATGGAGACCACTTCCCTTGGGGAAGACTATTCCACCGCCTCAAAGATCTCATTCACAGGAAGTGTGCCCTTTTGTAATATTCCCGTTACTACTAGCTATAATCCCTTGTATTGTATTTATTATTTGTATTGCTTCCACATCATCCTTAGCATTTATGTGATGGCCGGCATCTTGGCCACCATGCTGGGATTGACGTGAGGACCTCCAGAACTAAAAGCATGAGTGGCTACAACTTGAGCTAAAGCTCCATAGCTGGCTGAGAGTGTGGGGGGACTGTGACAACTCCGATCCTCTGAGAATTGGCTCAGAGGGGGGACCTGTAACACATACTGACCAGTGAGTTCCATTTATACTAGAACTGCTCAACATTTTTACATCAAAATATTTTTAAGACAAAAGATGACTTTTCAGACAAATGTAAACATTTTCATTTTTGTCTCAAGTTTAAAGTTTTTCATTGAAAAAAATTTACGTTTCAGTTGAGTTTTGGGGGAAATTTTCAGTTTTCAAACAGCAATTTTTTTGTAGAACTAAAAACAGTTTTTGAAAAATCTCCCCCCCCCCCCACTTTTTGGTTTTGTGTTAAAAAACAAAGCTTTTTTGGGGTGGGAAGTTGAGAAAAAAATAAATTTTACACGATATCCCACCAGAAATGACTGATATTTTTCAACCAGTTCTAGCTCAGCCCTTTCAGATCATTGTAAGAAACCTTCATGCACCAAACACCTGAAGCCTTGACTTACGTGGATGACATCATCCACCTCAGCCCTGATAACAGGACCCAGGATACCCAGGTGTTCTTCATATTCCCCTTCAGGCTCCCGAGTTGTAAAGGTACTATCCACATAGCTTCGGAAAATCACTTTTTTGTATATGGTGTTGCCCCCATCATGGCTGGTTCTGACATTCCTCACTGTGCTGAGGGGAACATAATGGAATTAGAAAAATTATGGAATTAGAACATAATGGAACATAAACATCATGGAATTAGAAAAACTGACATCTTATGATGAAAATTAGAGACCTACACATAAAAACCCCTCAAGATGTAGTCTGAGAAACAGTTACATTTACCGTTGGAATGCTTTGGAGGAAAATGAATCAGCACAAATGTCAGTGATTCACCCTGAAAATGTATGATCCAGGGTATTTAAGTGACTACAAAATGATATCACTACATTCCATTTTTCTCCTCAGTGATTCTACACCAGATTTGCTCAGTCTGTAAATCCTAAAATAGTTTTTCTAACCACCAGTGAGGAAAATTATTCTCTAATATCTGAAAATCCATCTGGGCTATTTATATCTCTTACACCATCATCTATAAGAAACTGAATCAGAACTTAGAGTTTTGGTGAGGCAATAAGAATCCAGTTCCCTCCCCCACAGATATATCGATTCTGGAGAGCTAGTGGAAAAAAAGGATGTAATTAGTTATCAGCTATAATTCAGAGCCGCATGAGGAAGTGATGCTGACAGCTCCGTGAGAAGGTGTCACCTTTGCATATTTGTCATCTGATCACAACCATATTTAAAAATGCAACTGCTCTGTGAAGAAATAGGAGTTTAGTCCCTCAGAGTCACCTAGGTACATTTACACAGCCCACAGCAGACTCGGGCTTGCACTACCGAACTAAAAACAGCTGTGTCGACGTGGCTCAGGCTTTCAAGTCTAGGGATGGGGGTGGGAGTCAGAGACCAAGTGCCAGGCTGTGCTTCAATTTCAAGCACTGTCTACACAGCTATTGTTATAGTGTTAGCACAAGGCCAGGTATGTTGACCTGCACTTGGAAGGCTTGCTGCTGCAGACTGTGTAGATGTACCCTTAGTGGAAAGAGCACTAGGGATCATCTCAAGTGCCTGGGGATCCATCTCTAGATCCTCCAGTGCCTGGGGATCATCTCTTCCTCATGTAGCTCTGAATTATAGCTGATAACCAATTACATCCTTTATTTCCATTAGCTCTCCAGAGCCGATACATCTGTGGGGGAAGGAGCTTGATTCTTATTGTCTCACCAAAACTCTAAGTGCTGATTCAGTTTCTTATGGTTGTAGGTTCTATTCTCAACTCTTCCAAAGACTCAGGGACAGATCCTCAGCTGAGGGAAGTTGTCACAGCACCATTGACTTCAGTGGTGCTGTCCTCATTTATATCAGCAGCTGAGTATCTGCCCTACACAGGGCAAATCATTTCAGTATTTGAGCTTCAGGATTTTTACACATGGAGAACTCAGAGTCCTCTGGGCACTCTTGCAAATACAAATAATGAAGGTGGAGCTTAACCGGGGTCCTACATGGGGAAAGTTGGGAAGGGGGAAATAGACAAGTTTGTCAAGTAGTCTGAAGATACAATTTGAAAAATACACAATTCAGAGACTGAATGTGCTGTAGTGAAACTATTTCCACTCCTGTCCTAAATCACGCAACAATGAAAATTCAGGCTGTGCAAATATTTTTGTGGGTAGCAATTTTAGGGGAAAAAGGCAGATTTTGCACAGAAATATGAAATCACTGGCAATTTTGCATGGTTTGATTTGAAATTTCAAATTTCTAAGAGGTTGAATTTCTCTCAGAAAAACTGGATTACAAATTCCTGTTGGGAAATAAAGCCCCTTTTTCCAAATCAAAACAAAATGCGAACATCTCAAATTTGGGGTTCTTGTGCAATGGTCCAATCAGTTCTTGATCTCTGCTAAGACTAGCAACAAGGGAGTTAATTAGAATCGTCTGTGGTGGTGTGGTTTGCATGATGTGGTAGTCCAGTTCCCAGCAGGGAAGTGGGAGCCAAACTACTCATTTTGTACTGGAGACTGAATAAAACTTCAGATGGTGGGAACTACAAGGTCTTGAATTTTCGGTGGGGCCTAAGGGTGTAAGGCACCCAGCTCCATTGAGATTCCCTTAGGTTACTTTGAAAAATCTCCACCAAAGTCCCTACCTACCAAGCTGAATTCAAACTGGCAACCTATAGGCTCTCTCTTGACTGAGTCCCAAACCATCCCAGCCACACATACTTAGATACCAAGCTGAGGTATTGATGTGGGCCTCATTACTGTAGTATCTGTGCACCTCCCAATCTTTAATGCATTTATCCCCACAAAAGCACCTGTGAGGTAGGAAAGGACTTTATCTCCATTTTACAGACAGGGAACTGAGGCACAGAGAGACTAAGTGACTTGCCCAAGGTCACACAGGAAGTCTCTGGCAGAGCTGGGAGTTAAACCCAGGTCTCCTGAATTCCAGGCTAGTGCCCTAAAGCACTGGTCCTTCCTTCCTCTTCACCTACTGCATTACAGACTGTTAAATGGAACAGCACTTGTGTGATTAAGAAATCCCCTAATCCTTCAGCAACAGTAGCTTTGTTGTGGGACAGCTATCTGAATCAGTGGCCTGGTATTTAGCAACAGGGTGTGAGGCAACAGAGAAGGAAGAATTAGGTCCAACCTTTTCTTTAATCCTCCATAGTCCCAGAAGACCTCTTCGGCTGCAATGTAGTATCTCCTTGTGGTCCCTCTGCTGCGGAGATAATGCACAGCAATCTCATCAGGGTTACGGACATTATTAAGGTTGAATCTGGGGTCCGTTGTATATGGGTCATTGAAATTCTACGTCTGCATCTGAATATTGAGTAATCTTCAATTTCCTCACTGTCAGAGCCTCCTGGAACATACTTCTTGTTGTCCCCATTCCCACTGGGAAGCCCTATGATGATGGGCTTAAATTGTCTTGGGGTCAGCGTGTAGTTAGCTCTGCTTGGCAAAACCGTGTGGTTGGCCTCGCTGGGCAATTCTGTATTGTTGGCCTCACAAAGGGACACTGTGTGGTTGGCCTCCCTGGACAATAATGTGCAGTTTTGCTCTCCAGGTACCTTTGGGGGTCTCACACCTCTGGGTGTCAATGAGAGATTAGTATACTTTTGATTATGCTTTTTCCTCCTTCGGGTCTTGATGAGAGTCCCAGAGGTACTCAACGTGCCATTCACATTTCTCTTTTCCCCTTTCAGAGTTGGATGCTTGCTCCTTACTTTCCAATGACCCTTTATAAATGGTGAGTAGCCTTTGAATTTCCCTTGCTTCTTCTTATTCAGGGATACACTCTCTCTTGTAGGCATTGTAGCATTTCTGGAACAATTCTGTAATTTATCAGTAGCCTGAGCTGAATTTGTCTCCATCCCATAACTCTCCTTCCCAGAGGCCAAATTCCATTTCTCATTCATAATTTTAGATGGAGACTTCATACCTCTTGGCGACAGCTTTCCCAGCATGTCCTTTCCCACCACTGGGCTACGAGTAGGAATTAAGATATCCGATGCATAATCTAGAGTAAAATTTCTTTCTTGTTTATCTTTGGGTAGTTCTAAATCAGGGAGATTGAACATGTTTAACTCATTGTTTTTCGCCCTGTGTCCCACAGCAAAAGTCAAGTTATCTGCATGTTTGGGAAATTCAGCATTTTCTTTCTTGGTTTCCTCCTCCTCCACGTCCTGGTCCTCAGCATATTCATTTGGAAAGTTGGTCAGTCCCTAACATATCTGAACTGAAGATATTCTTTGCATGGTGAGGAGAAAGAGGTGCTCTGTCTGAACTAGTGTTGCCAAGAGAGGAAAGACTTTTATTTTGTTGAACATGATCTAAGAGGGCTCGCATCTTTTTAACGGTGTAAAACGTAGTCTCCAGCTGGTCTCGCCTTTCCCTTTTTCTACTGAAATTGTATTCTCCTCCTGAACTTTCCTCTTGTGGTTCCTCTGAACTGAGTGTTGCAGAGGAGGGCGTCATGCTGTCCCCTCTGTCAGGTAACAGTTCTGCTGCATCTTTTGTTTGGGCTTCTTCCCTGGTCCTCAGTAGTTCACCTGCAAGTGTTTTTTCATAATTTCCTGACATCTGACTGTGATTTGCTTCATAGTCACTTTGGTTTCCAGCTTTAGATGCCAAGTCAGGACTTACTGCTGTTGTGGTGACTGGAGGTGAATGTTCTTTCTGCTGCCACCATGTAATTTGTATGGAGGGACCCAGCCTCGGTTGGGAGAGGAGCAGTGCTTTGAGTTTCCAAGAGTTCATCAGTGTTCAAGGTATCACTGTTCTCCATGAATGGCGGATCTGAGCCAGGAGCCACATCAGCCCTCTGAGTGCTGGTGCCAAAGTTCTCATCTATGGCCAGAGCAGTAAGATTCTGCATTTCTTCCTGGACCATTGATTTCTTCCCAAATGTCCGAAGTCCCAAACTTGAGGCCAGCAGATCTTGATAATCATAATCATCAGAAGATTGCTGGGTTTTTTTTGATATTTCTTTTGTTTCTCCTTCAGTTTGGGGTGAGGTTACAGGCACATTTTCAAGAGTCTTCTCATATGAAAATCTATGATTTCATACAGGTCATCCTCAGAATAATAATCTATATCTTTTTCACATTTGGCATCTCTAAACCTCAGCGTCATGCCATGACTCATCTCAGGGGAACCCCAGGATGCAAAAAGCCATGTACCTGCAATTGGAAAAATAAAAAGTTTACTACATATTACTTTGTAGAGCTTGACCCCCACCTGTCATGTGCTGTCTAGACTGTAAACTCTCTAGGTCAGGGGCTGTCTTCTGTGTTATTAGTCTGTAAAGCACCCCACAATATTGCTCTGGTCCTTGTTTGGGATTCCTAGGCATAACCATAGGAATAAATCATGAATACTGAATACAATTGACCCATAAAGTTCACAGACAGATCTGGATCTCAACTTCCCTAAAATTTAGGGTTATTTGGTTTCAGGTTTTTGGTACATCCCATGATAGAAAGGGAGATAAGAGATCAAAACTAGATGGAAACAAGAGGTTTAGATAGGGATCCAAATTTTGGGAGTTTGGGTTATGTGTATAAACCTATGGATGAGAGAATACTGATCATAATAAAAATCCCCAAAGGCATTTAAAACCATTTAAAAATCAGATATGTTACAGTATTTTAAAACCCTCTGGAGGGGGGAAGGTCTTTAATAGGACAGTGAAATTCCACATTTGGACCTCTAGATTGGCCTACATGAGAATAAATGGGCACACTGCACCAAGTGACTCCAGGCTCTTTGCATTTCATGGCATGTCCCACAATAAAACATGGGAGAGATGGACAAAAAATGGCTTTTACCTCAAAAAGATGCCAGGTGTAATCTTCTACCGCCTCTATATTTTAAGTGACAGAATTGCATTGCTTTCCTTACATTATTTCCAAAGTCAGCAAAAATGAGCACATTTTACAAGAACTGGAAAAGAAGGTCTAGGAGAGGGAAGGAGGTGATCACATACTAAAACCAAACAATAATGATGGAGAAGTACAAAAGTACAACTTTGGAGATTTCTGTAAAGTCTGATGGAGGTTTCCAGCTTCAAGTAAACATTTCTCCTTTTAAAAAAAAAACCATAATGCATAATTAGCCTGTGGAACTCACTGCCAGAAGGTACCGCTAGACCCAGAAGTTAGTAGGATCCAGAGAACTAGCCATTTACATGGACAAGGAGAACATACACAGGTACTTTAAACAGGATAAAAAATTAAGGGATCTAAACCCTTCTTCTTCAAGGCATCAGCCAACCACTGGGATTAGGCAGGGTATTCCAAAATTGTCCACACCGTGGGATTTCTTCCACCTTTATGTGAAGCATCCGATAGTGGTTACTCTCAGAGACAGGATACTAGAACTAGATGGACCACTGGTTTGATCCAGTCTGATTGTTCCAACATTCTTTCCCTCCTAAATGACTGGTGGGCCAGATCCTGACATGTGATGCAGCCATTTTTCTCAGTAACACCAGTATAATTTGGCCATAAGCCCATTTTAACCAGCCCAGGGTGGTTAACACCAGTGGAAAGCTACATATCCTACAGTAGAATAGAGCAGACGCAGGGGTCCCTACACCATGTGTTTCCTCTGCTGCCAGAGTAAGAGGGAAAAGCTGCTCTTGCTCTGGAAAAGGGACACTGTCAGGACGTTCCTTTCTGAATGCAGAAGGGTGAACAGGGCCCCAATGTATGGCTTTTAGGATTTGGCCTGCTGGTTTAGATGTGGACATTTTTCCGTTTCTATAGATTTTGACAGAGAACTTCAATACTGTGCCTCAAATGACAGATATACAACTAGAGCCACAGTAAGGACTTTTTTGGGGAGTGCTCAAAAGCAAAACAGAATCATCAGTAAGTATAGCATATGCAACAGCACTGCTGTGTCGTGTGCTGCCAGCATACACATACCCCATGTGTATCAACCACTCTTGCTGTAATCTAGGGAAAGATATAGATGGGCTGAAATTTTGTATGCACTTTATACAAAGCTTTTCTATTTTTATGAGTCCTTATGGACTCTAGAAACAAAATCTCTTAGCAGATCATTAAACAAGCACAGCAGTTCTGCCACTTACCAGCGTTGTCCATTTCTACAGTGACCGATTCTCCACTCATGGGGAAAAGATTCAGTACATCTTCATACTTCCCTCGAGACAAAAAAGTGTGACCAGAAAGGCGTACGGACACTACCTCATCCTGGGTGCCAATACTGGAGACATGCCACTGCACAATTTCGTCATGGCAAAATCCCAGGATTTCAGTGCTGTCAGACATGTAGCCATTTATTGCTAAAACAAAGCATAAGATATGCTGTTACAGCACCATAAAGCCTCACCAGCATGCAAGACGGTAAGCCAAATTCATGCTTTCAATGGAGTGACATCAGGGATGGAACTGACACATCTTTGTATCCAGACAGAAAGGTTATTGGCACTCTGATGAAATTGGGCTGCAATCCAGACACCTTCATCTGAAGGGACACCATTAGGTTAAAAAAATCACATATTAAAATAAAATGTCCTTACCTCTGTTCCTAGTCACCCTATGTTGGATTCAGAGTGAAAGAATTCAAATATATAATTGGAGGAAACCCAAGAGGCTAGAGTTGCATCAGCAGTTTCTCTGGCTGCGCTGCTATCCTGTGTGTTACTGGACCACATGCTCTCTCCTGATTCCCTTGTGCTGTGGCCCTGAGGAGGCAGCTTCTAGGAACTACATGCACTGAGGGCCCCCACACGGCTGTGCAGCTGTGCCCCCCTCCCCACTGTCAAATTAACAGACTCATTAACACTTACAAATTGCTTAGTGCCATGCTAATAGCTGCAGCTTGCTCCAAACCCAAAAGCATGCAGTACGAGGCATGCAGCTGCTTGGCTGACTTCTGGAGTCTTCCCAACATCCTTCCCTTTACTTCCCTCCTGATTCCTTCCCCCAACCACCCCAGGGCAAACAGCTGCAGCATCACAGATTGTTCCTGGTCACCACCCCAGGAAGCCTGCCAGCCCCTGCCCACTCTAACCACTCACCCCCTGTATCCATTCCCCTCTGCGAGGCTCCACACAAACATTTACCAGGCCCCCGCTCCTCCCCCACCCAGGTACTCTACCTCTCTCTATCTCCCACAGTCACCGATACCTCCACCCCCCACCTTCCGGGTGCTGCCTCAGTGGACTGCAGTTGGTGGCCCAGAAGCCCATGCAGGGCTGCTGAGACCACTGACACTTCCCCTTCTCGGTTTACATTTGCCCGGCTCATGATGAGCTTGTTTGTGCCTAAGTTGCCCGAACCATGCCCTATGAAATTCTGGAAATAGCAGATCCTTGAAGCCAGAACCAGAACTCTGCTCATTCGTGCTTTCAGCACAATCTCAGGGGCCAGTTTCTGCCACTTGGGAAATCCCCATGCCTGCCTTGCACCTCAGAATAAGCACCCATCTGGGTACTTGCGCTCACACAAGCTTTTGCAAACTTGGGCCTAGTTTCCCACTCACTGTGCATCACGTTAGACCTGTAGAACTTGGGATCATCCCTTTTAACGCTGGAGGGGTTGTTGCAGTACTCCTTGATGTTATCCTCTAAGTACCAACTCTTGTTTTCATCAAACACGGCAAACACGGCCTGCTGCTCTGCATCCGCCTTGTTCTGAAAGACAGCAGACATGGCAGGGTAAGTTTTGCAAGCAGCTAACGGATACATAGTGGGGTATATTAAGGGCCTAATCTCGCCATCCCTCCAGAGGCAACATTTCCATTCAAGTGAACAGAAGCACAGTCCAGTGGTTAGAGAAAGGGACTAGGGTTCCGGACTCCTGGGTTCCATTCCTACCTCTGCAACTGACTCACTGGGTGACACTGGACCAGCTACTTAGCATGGCTGCTATGAGCTGGGCTCCCCCTAGTGGCCCACTTGTTGCTGTATGTGCAGGGGCTGAAGTCACTGCTTCCATTCACTTCTGCGTGGTGTCTGAGCCACTGTCAAAGTAGATTCCTTCCTTTGGCCCCATGGAGGGGAAGTGGAAGAAGAACTCTCCCAGCAACCCCCTTGCAATGCTTCTGGATCCCCAAAGTTTGGGGTTGCCAGACCTAGGTTAAACCTATGATAGACTGGGGTCAGAAGCTATCAGAGACTGGGGTCAGAACTTCCTCCCTGCATACCATCAAACTTTGGGGAAGTTTAGGGTGGTGTCTAGAATCAGGATTTTGCAATTTCTTGTCTTGGCAAACAAAGCACAATGAAAGAAATCACTAGCAGCCTGATCTTTCTAACTGAAAGTCCCAGCGAGCACTCTAAATCTGGGGCCACATATGCCAGCATGCAGCTAAAAACTATCACTGCAAGCAGCCCTTATAGAAAAGTCCTATAGAATTTAATACAAAACTATCCCCTTATTTTAGGTTGTCTGACTCACCCTATAGAATTTAATGTCCCAACTAGTGAGTTCTGTAGGGTGGTTCAAAGAATTTATCCAAAGGATCTCATACCTCATTACATTCTACAGGTTTTTTGACTGACTTCTGAAGAAGCCTAGTGATCTGATCCCAGTTCAGTTCCAGAGGCCTTTTCTCTAAGGGAACAATCAATGAAACCAAATTCCCCTGTAGTTCAAACAACACACATGGACAGGCGCCTCTCTCTCTCTCTCTCTCTCTCAGAGGTTGCAGAAAATGTTCATACCTGCACACCCCTCTTGTCCAGTGCTTCACCTTTACAAATCAGAAGTGGGCCAATCAGTCCAGAGGCTATATCCCTGGTTACATCTACAGCACTGTGATATAATCTCGTTAGACACTGGGCATCCTGTGCGGTGGGCTGATCGGTGTCCACGACGCTCCATTTATACGTGTAGGTTTCCCCAGGTTGAACTGCTTTACTCAGGGTGCTGTTGTCTGAAGGAGAAATAAAATAGGAGTTACAAACTTAGAGCCAGATTCATGGCTGGTGTAAATTGGCATAGCTCCAATGAAGTCAGTGCACCTTCAGGCACTTGAAGTCCAATATGTACTTTGGGCAGGTCTACACTTCAAAAACAACTGAGTACAGGGACCTAGATATAGCATGGTTGTCCCATGTGGCTTACAACAGAGTTCCTGTTTGCAGTGCAGAAAGGAGCTTAACTATGCTCCGTTATTAAGTTACAGCCTTGGACTGTCCAAAGCTCTAGCACAGCCTGGAGACATGCTCTGTGTCCACTGCAGAATGCAAAACGTGTTGTCACTGTGTTTTCTGTCTGCAAAGGTCCCATGTGCTATACAGGAATTATACCACTTACGTTAGAGACTTGTCAATAAAGCTAAATGAATGATGGGTGTAAATCGCTTTTGAGATCCATGGATGAAAGGCACAACAGAAGGACAAAAAAATTATTGAACAAGGACTGTTCATATCTGAGGCAGAAAATTCTACATTTTAATTGTAACAGTGAACTGCACACTGGTGGGAAGGCAGATTTAGAAGGAATTGCCTTGGCTCTAGCCTACGTCGTGGCTAAAACCAGCTCCATTCTATTTCTACAACAAACCTGCTACTCACTACATTCTTCCTTTACCAAACAATCACCCATAAAACAGCATCTAATCAGTTGAAGTTAATGCTGCAGAAATAGAATCAAAGGACTGGAAAGGATCTTGAGAGATCCGTGCACTCATGGCCGGACTAAGAACGCCGCCTTTTGCCCCCATTTTTTCCGGGAAGAAAGGGGGGGGACGGCAGCGCTCGGTCTGCCTCCCGGCGCCCGCCCCGGGGGTTCGGGGGGGGCGCGGGCCCCGCCGGCCCCTCCCGCCCCCGGCCCCCCGCCCCCCCGCCGGCGCCCCGATGATCTAGACCATCCCGGACAGGTGTTTATCTAACCTGCTCTTAAAAATCTCCAATTAAGGAGATTCCTCAACCTCCCTAGGCAATTTATTCCAGTGCTTAACCACCCTGACAGTTCGGAAGTTTTTCCTAATGTCCAACCTAAACCTCCCTTGCTGCAATTTAAGCCCATTACTTCTTGTCTTAGCCTCAGGGGTTAAGGAGAACAAATTACCTCCCTCCTCCTTGTAACAACCTTTTATGTACTTAAAACTTACGTTCCCCCTCAGTCTTCTCTTCTGCAGACTAAAACCCAATTTTTTCAATCTTCTCTCAGAGCTCATATTTTCTAGACCTTTAATCGTTTTTCTTTTTTTCGCTCTTCTCTGAACTTTCTCCGGTTTGTCCACATTTTTTCTGAAATGTGGTGCCCAGAACTGGACACAATACTCCAGTTGAGGCCAAATCAGTGCAGAGTAGAGCAGAATTACTTCTTGAGTTTTGCTTACAACACTCTTGCTAATACATGCCAGAATGATGTTTGCTTTCTTTTGCAACAGTGTTACAATGTTGACTCATATTTAGCTTTAATCTGGGGGTCACAGTGTATCACCTTTGCACCGTACTCCTTCCTAAGCAGTCATTTCCCATTTTGTATGTGTTCAAGTGATTGTTCCATTCTAAGTGGAGTACTTTGCATTTGTCCTTATTGAATTTCATCCTAATTACTTCAGACCATTTCTCCAGTTTGTCCAGACCATTTTGAATTTTAAATCCTATCCTCTAAAGCACTTGCAACCCCTCCCAGCTTCGTATCATCCACAAACTTTATAAATTTACTCTCTCTGCCGTTTTCTAAATCACTGATGAAGACATTGAACAGAACCAGACCCCACTTGATACGCCCTTCCAGCTTGACTGCAAACCACTGGGAATGCTGCTTGCTGTCTGACTCATATAACGATGTGCAGTCACATCTCTCTGGTCCTTGAACAAATCCACTGACTCCCCCATTCCTTACAGGAATCAGGAAATAAAGTGTCCCCTCTTCCTTCTTTAAAGCCTTCCATGGGCTGGCTACAGATTATTTCATAGCCCTTAACTTCTGTGTAGTCTCTCATTTGCTTGCCCAGCACTAGCAACCTCACTATCCAAGATTGCGGATACACAGTCTTACCACTGTTGATGACTTTTCCTGCTGCTCTTTCTGTATCTCTCAGCCCCATTTCATTTCAGATCACAGCAGAAAACATTTCTCTCTCTTTTTCCCTTAGCTATGCCTCTTAATATTTCCTAATATTTCTTCTCCTCCATTACCATTTAGCCATGCAAAGACTATGAAGATATAGTACTTGGACTTTCAGAAAGTCTCTGACAAATCCCTAACCAAAGGCAAAGTAAGCAGTCATGGGATAAGAGGGAAGGTCCTCTCCTAGATCCATAACTAATTAAAAGATAGGAAATACAGGGTAGGAATAGAGGGTCAGTTTTCACAGCAGAGAAAGGTAAATAGCAGGTTCCCGCACGGATCTGTATTGGGAAATGTGTTGTTCAACTTATTCATAAATAATCTGGAAAAGAGGGTGAACAGAGAGGTGGCAAAATTTGCAGCTATACAAAAGTACTCAAGACAGTTAAATACAAAACTGACTGTGAATCGTCATTAAGGGATCTCACTAAACTGGGTGACTGGGCACCAAAATGGCAGATGAAATTCAGTGTTGATAAATACAAAATAACGCACATTGGAAAAAAATAATCCCAACTATATATACAAAATGTTGGGGTCTAAATGAGCTGTTTCCACAACAGAAAGATCTAGGAGTCAACATGGATAGTTCTCTGAAAATATCTGCTCCATGTGCAGCAACAGTCAAAAAAGCAAACAGAATGTTAGGACCCATTAGAAAAGGGATAGATATTAAAACAGAAAATATCATACTGCCACTATATAAATCCATGATACGCCCACACATTGAACAGTGCAGTTCTGGTCACCTTGTCTCAAAAAAGATATCTCAGAATTGGAAAAGGTGCAGAGAAGGGCAACAAAAATGATCAGGGGAATGGAACAGCTTCCGTACGAGCCAAGATTAAAAAGACGGGGAGTGCTCAGCTTAGAAAAGGGACAACTAAGTGGCGGGGGGAATATGACAGAGATATGATAAAACCATGACTGGTGCGGAGAAAGTGAATTGGGACCTGTTAGTTATCCCTTCACATAACACAAGAACTAATGGTCACCCGATGAAATTAATAGGCGGCAGGTTTAAAACAAAAGTAAGGAAGTACTTCTTTGCCCAACCCACAGTCAACCTGTGGAACCCATTGTCAGAGGACGTTGCGAGAGCAGAAGTAGAACTGGGTTCAAAAAATAATTAGATAAGAATATGGAGGACAGGTCCATCAATGGCGATTAGCCAAAATGGTCAGGGACCCAACCCCATGCTCCAACTACCAGAAGCTGGGACTGTATGACAGGGGATGGATCACTGGAAATTGCCCTATTCTGTTCATTCCCTCTGAAGCATCTGGTACCGGCCATTGTCAGACAGGATATGAAGCCAGATGGACCTTTGGTCTGACCCAGTATGGCCGTTCTTATGTTACGTCAGCGAGACCCTTGGCTGGTGTAAACTGACATGAGCTCATTGAAGTTGAGGACCACGTCCACGCAGGCATTTTTTAAATAATAGTGCTGCTTAGCATATTTACATTTGATTTTTCATCTGTAGATCTCAAAGCACTTTACAAAAGTGGGCACTTATCATAATCCCCATTTTACAGATGGGGAAAACTGAGGCACGGAGAAGAGACGCAACTTTCCCAAAATCACACAGCACGTCAGCGCAGAGCTGGGAACAGAACCCAGGACTCCCACTCCTGTGCCCTAATCAGTTACATGACCTCCTAAAGGCAAAGAGAGACTCTACACAAAGTAAGACTTTCAATATTGTGCAAATGTGAACAGTTTCTGACCTGTGGAATCCAGGGGGTCAGTGGCTCCTTCTGCATCTTTTGAAAGCGTCACTCCATGAAGGTAAATGCTGTAGGGTCGACTGGCCATATTTCTGAACACAATCTACGTAGATATGGAGATGCAGAAAGTTTGAGTTCAGCATTCAGTGAATCCTGGTCTGGGTAAATCCCAGGGAGAGCGAAACTTGCATGATTTCAGCACTGAAAGTGCTCAGGGGAAGAAACGCTCCTTAAAAGAAAAATCTGGGGATATTAAACCAGAAGCTCTACTGCAACATGAACATTTGTGGACCGCACTGATTTGGGATTCCTCTTGTGCTGCCTGGTCTCAGGCGGCTGATGAGAATGCCATCCTCAGGAGCACTTCCCACACGGCCAGGCACACGAAGCCATGGAGAGTGCTAGCCATGGACTGGAATCACGGGGATTCCGTAAAAACAATGAGGAGTCTGTGTGGCACCTTAGAGACTAACCAATTTATTTGGGCATAAGCTTTTGTGGGATAAACCCCACTTCATCAGATGCATGGAGTGGAAAATACAGTAAGCAGGTATAAATATACAGCACATGAAAAGATGGGAGTTGCCTTACCAAGTGCGGGGTAAGGCAACTCCCATCTTTTCATGTGCTGTATATTTTCCACTCCATGCATCTGATGAAGTGGGGTTTATCCCACAAAAGCTTATGCCCAAATAAATTGGTTAGTCTCTAAGGTGCCACACAGACTCCTCGTTGTTTTTACTGATACAGACTTTCCTAGCTTTTACTGATACAGACTTTCCCATCCCTTTCCCAGCTTCTAGGAGCCAAGGAGGACGGAGAGGGAAGAGAAATGCTCGAGGATGGAGCCAGATGGAGAGAGAAGAAACATTGCACTGAATTCAATTCCAGAGCCACAAAATCATCATGGCATTTAAGGATTGTGCGGCTTTGGGATGTATCAATCTGCAATGGCGGCAAGTCCAGGGGACACGCCATTATTATACAGCATAACATCTCAACATCATGCTGTCAGCACCGTGTAGCTCTCTAGCTTCATTTGATGACTTCAATCAAAGTGGCTCTTCAGCTTTCAAGGGTGAGTACCCCTGTCTGAGACAGCTAAACAGTAAGAGGTAGAGATTATGGGTTCCTAAAGTTCAGACACAGATCCGAACTTCCCCAAAGTTCAGGTGTGTTTGGAGTTGAGGGTTTGGACCAACTATTCTAAATATTCTTTACAAAAAGCAAGTGTCAATGCAAAGTTTAGATTGATAAACCCAGCACTCAAAGTCAGGGATGGCAGAGATAAGATTGCAAACTTAATCTTAACTCTGTCCCCTTGTGCTCATACCTTCAAATATGGCCACTCTTTGTATCATTACAGCTTATTTGACAAAGAATACAACACAAGCTCTTTCTTGTTTACAGTAAGTTATTTTGCATTTACAGTAAGTTACACCACAGTACATACAGTCTTTGTATTTGGCCCTCGCCACTTACCTTGATTGTGTCTCTAACCTGAGCTCTGATAACAGGGCCCAGAATTCCCATTTCCTTGGGCCGGGGAGTCTCCAGACGCTTATTGAAGTTGGCATCTTCATACTGCCTGAAAACGGCCTTTTTATACTTCTTCCCAATGAGATTTGAGAAGTTGTCCAAGTACTGAGCTTTATATTGCCTTAAAAAAAAAAAAGCAAAAAGTATCAATAACATCTTCTTAATGATGAGATCCACTAGATCGTAGAATACTCTTCCACGGGAAATGGCAGAAGCCCCTTGCAAGGTTTCAAAGACAGTGGAATTCCCAATGATGGCTAAGAATAGGTAGGGTTCATGAAGTAAGGTGAGAAGTTGTGTTTTAGCCATGAGCTGTGGCTGTTTAGTACCTGAACCCTTTTGAGAAAGGCTGTGGAAGCGTGATAACAGTAAAGGTCAGATTTATTCCCCTCACTCTCTTCCTTTCCTTCTCCCCTCAATCCTCCCTCTCCCCTGCTGCATCCTGGGAATTGTAATTCCTGAACTCAAAGCTACAGGAGCCAGCTAGTAAGAAATTTAGAAAGACACACTGGGATAGCTATCTGCATCTAACTAGATGCAACACACCTTTCCCCTTTAGAATAACCATTGTAAAACTTCAGTCACTTCCAGACCATCACTTGAGTCCAGTAACAAAGTCTTCCAATCTTTCAGGCAGTCTCCTTTGTCTCACACTTCTCCTAATACCCAGAGAGGCAGAAACAAGACCGGGTAGTGGAGCAATTCCTACTACTATAAATTGTCCATCATTATTATTGGTGTCATCAGCATTCTCTGGTCCAAGGTGGAAATCAGCATTCTCCTCTTCAGCTGCTGGCTGATGAACTGCGGACAGTCTTGAAGTGTTCTATTTCTTTTGATTTATTAATCCAGCAGAATCTTCTCATATTTCTATTATCTGCAAAGGAAAGGAATATCTTGAACGTTCTTTTTTGTCTTTGTATGACAGCTTCACACAAATAAGAGCTCCAATTTCAAATTTGTGAGGTTTAGCACCTTACAATACACACACTGCTTATATTTCTCCTGTTTGTTGTTAACACATTCACAAATTGTTTCATCAGAAGGTTTGGTTGAAAAAAGGAGAACATGTAAGCCCCTGACAGGTAGTAAGTCATTTACCAGCCTTGTGTCCTCTTAACAGTTCAAAGGGTAATGCTCCTGGTGTTGAATGTGGAGTGGTCTCATAAGCAAACAGTGTTTCATGTAAAGCTTCTTTCCCTGGTCTCACTTGAAAACTAGTAAGTTGCAAACTTTCTTTCACCAGTCTGTTCATTCTCTCAAGTAGACCACTAGCTCTTGGATGGTATAAAGAAAATGTTTTGTGTTTGATACCATTGTAAATGAGGTAGCGTTGCATTTCAGCAGAAGTTATTTGCATTCCATTGTCAGTTACCAATTCCTTGGGAAATCCTTCTTGGGCAAAAACTCATGACGTTAACTTATTTACTATTTCAGCTGAAGCTTTCCAGTGAATGTAATTTCTGGCCAATCTGAATGATAGTTTACCATACTAGGACAAACCTCTGTGTAACAGACTGATCTTCAAATGCTCCCCATTAGGTCAGGAGCCGGTTTCTCTCATGAACAATTGGGATAACGAACTGGTGTGAGAAGGAGGCTGAAGGTTTTCTGTGACTTATCACTTCTAGCACAAGCCGTGCAAGTCTTGATTATTTCCTCAACTTGCTTGTCCATCCCTGGCCACCAGAAGTCTTATCGCAGTTGTCTTTTGGTTAGACTCATCCCCATATGTCCTCCATCTGCCAGGTCAATTAATCGTTGTCTCACAAGTGTAGGCACAACAAGATGGTCAATTCTCAAAACCCATTCATTTACAAAGGACAGCTCACGTGATACATGTCTATAGATAGCTCCGAGTGTTCTGGTGTCATTGTCATGTAAGACCATCCATTGACTATGTAAGTCTTTAGGTCCTTGTGATGGGGTGTGCTCCCCACACTGAAACTGCAAGAGTTGCATTAGGTCAGGTGGGCCCAATCAGCTAATTAGGTTCAAAAGGGGAGCTTTGGGTTGGAGGCAGCTAACAGAGAGAAGCTCACTTGTGAGAGAGAGGCAAGGCTTCTACAGAATACAGGGAATTAGCAGGGAGATATTGCAGTCACTTCTGCAAGAAGAGAGATGTGGCTGGGGCTACAGAGGCAGTAGCCTCGGGTTACTCCCTGGGAGGAGGGAGTGAAGAGACTGGCAAACCCAGAGGATGGGGGCAGGCTAGGAGGTATGGAAGCGGCTCAGGGAAAGGCAGCAAGTTGCAGGGAACTGATCTTGGCTGTTGTGTAGAGGGTCCCTGAGCCGGAACCTGAAGTAAAGGAAGGGCCCAGGTTCCCCCACTGCAGGAGTGGCACCGTGAGCTAATGAAGCGGAAGACTGCTGGAGAGCAGGAACATTGATACACTCCAGCGCCTAGAAGGGGAAACCACAGTAGTCATCTAGCCAGAGGGCTGAGTCACAAAGAGGATGCTGCAGCTCCTGGAAGTGAGAGGGGGGCTGCAGAGGAGAAACGGACAGGGTGTAATTGCTGGGAGGGGCATCGGCCTGACTGAGCTAATCTCCAGGACAGCCACAAAATGGCGCCATCCGGCAGTGAGTACAGCAACCCCATCACAGTCCTGAACTACCTTGTCTTCTCTCATGGCTGTTACCCACTCTGAGATTGAGTTGTAGCAGAGATTTGTGCAAGGACAATCTCTTCATCATCTTTCTCTATTGCACCCTCATGGTAAGATATGAGCAGGCGAGACGGAATCTGCAGTGGTGTTTTTGACTCCTGGAAGATACACTGTCAGCAAATCAAAGTCCTTTAGTTTGATGACCCATTTGGCAATTCTTGGAGTTGCTTTTCCAGAACCTCATGTGATGAATAAAGGTGAGAGAGGTTTATGATCAGATCTTAAGATAAATCTCCCACCACCCCATAAGTAAGTTCTGAAGTGTCTTACTGCCCAGAAACATGCCAGAACTTCTTTCGCAGAGACAGAATCAGATTTTTCAGAATCAGTCAGGGCTCTGGAGGCAAATGCAATAGTGACTCCTGTCCATTTTTTAGCTGAGTCAAGACAGCACCAAGACCTTACTCACAAGCTTCTCTTGTGACAATTGTTTGTTTCACAGAATCAAAGGGTCTTAAAACCGGGATGGTGGACAGTGCATATTTGATCTTGTTAAAGCTGTTCTTGTACACGTCAACCCATTCAAACCTTACATGTCCTTTTTTAGGAGATGACTCAGCAGAACTACTTTCAGAGCAAACTTCTTTACAAACTTTGAATGGTATTTGCATAATCCAAAGGAGGACTGAAGTTTGTGCTTTTTGTCAGGCTGTGGTGCATCACAAATGGTTTTCACTAGGTCTGGTTTTGGTTGTATGCCGTTCTGAGAGATTCTATGCCCTAGACATGTCACTGAGTTGGTATGGAGTTGACATTTCTTCTTGCTAATGGTAAATCTGTATCCAAGTTTTTCTAGAACCGTTTTTAGCATGCCATCATGTTCAGATTCATCTTTGCCATTCACTAGAATGTCATTTTGAAAGTAAGTAACACGCATTCTCTCGCCAAAGATTGCAGGCATCATTCTCTGGAATACTGGTGCTACAGAGGCCTTTTGAATTGGAAAAAACATTCTGCAGTGATGAAAGCTGTGTACATGTGGGATTTTTCCATTAAGGGGATCTGGTGGTAAGCCGAGCATAAATCAAGAGTCATAAAGACTCTTGCCTCCTTTAAGGTGAGCAGCATTTCACTGATGTTGGATAGAGGATGACAATACACAACTATGTTGGAATTTAGATCTCTCAAGTCCACATACATGTGGATAGCACCATCAGACTTCCTGGTGAGAATGATAGGAGAAACCCATTCTGATGAATCAACTGGTTCAATTATATCTGCTTTGCGTCATTTCAGCATCTCCTCCTTGAGTGGTTGTCTCACTGCAACTGGTATGTTTTGCATTTTATGTTGCACAGGAACCACATTATATTGTAGCTGGCACTTGTGCTTGAACCTTTTTGCAACCCCTGCAGTGTCTGTGAAAACTTCTGGAAAGTCAGATTCCCATGACCCAAGTGATCTGCTTGTAGATATCTAAGTTTCTACAGATGGATCGGAGCTGTTCTTGACCAGCCTCTTCTCCCCACGATCCAGGAAATCTAATACCTCCTGTGTCGTACAGGCAGGAGTGTGTCTGCAACATGTAGCCAGCATGGTCAGCTAGGCAATTGCTAGGTGAGCTCTCCAAGCTGGGCAACCAGGAAATGGAATTCCAAAAATTCATGGGGCTTTTAAGGGGAGGGGCAGCTTCCTGCATACCTGCAGCAGAGTTCAAAGCAGAGAGAGATCAAAGGAGGGACATTGTGGGACACCTCCCGGAGGCCACTAAGTTGATGTAAGTAACGCAGTGTCTACACTGACACTGTATCAACCTAACTACATCAATCCTGATTCTACGCTGCACATGGAGGTGGAGTTTAGTTGGCAGAGTGGGGCAGCTATGTCGGCGGGATTGGAATTTAAGGGTTGACACTTCCATAGTTAGGTCACCGTAAGATGCCTTGCATTGACCTAACTCTGTAATGTAGACCAGGCCTAACTTGACGCTCTGGCACTGAGAGTGAAATATCTGTGCCTTGGGGTCATCTGACCTGGGCCCTGCCAGGGATAGGTTGTGTGAATTTGTCAATTTAACAGATGAAATGATCAGAGATCAAATTGTCATGAAGACAACAAGTTCCCCCAAGATTTGTGAACAACTCCTCATGATAAAAGGCCTTACCTTGGAGAAAACCATAGAAGCTGCCTGATGAGTGAAAAGCACCATCCACTGTGTTAAGTTGCTTTCTGCAACACCAGATGTCTTCCAGCCAGCAGGTTAAGACAGTCTGATACAAGACTGCAACCTGCAAAACTCCTAAATCTACATCCTTTATTCCCAACCAACTCTACACTGTGCTATTTGCCAACTCCCAACCTGAATTACATGCTTCAGACATCCACCATAGCCTCTGGGGTGTCTCCCACCCCCATCAGTGACTATTTTACAGCTACCATAGAGTACAAAAGCTGTAAACCCAAGGGGAAAAAAAAAATCTATGTAGCTCAAAAGAGAGTTTCTATTTTAGGA